GATTTGATAAACCGGCCTCCTACAAAGACGATGTATAGAACCCGTAATGCCCGTCGGAAAACCCGCAAAATACTCGTGAAAAACGCAATACAAAACGTTTGGGCCCTACAAAACACGGCTTTGGCTTCCGCCTACTTGGAAGTTCATGGTACTTATTAACCGATTATAACTGTACTTATAACCCACTAATACGCCCCCTAAGTGCCCTGATATGGTTGTAAGTACAGTCATAAGTACAGATATTAGTGGTTCTTAAGTACCGTGCACCTCCAAGTAAACTTGGAAAGACACGCTTCCACCCGCCTCCGAGGCGTGCAATCAGCAGCCACGGTCGCATTGCCAGGCTTTAGGGCCCAATGGGGGTTTGGGGTTTAGGGTTTGGGGTGTAGGGTTTAGGGTGGAGGGTTGAGGGCTTAGGGTTTATTGTCTGCTCATGATCATAATCTCAAGGATGCTATGGTAACCCTGATGACAACCAGAACCCATCCTCAAGAACAGTCGCGACCCTAAACCCTAAACCCTAAACCCTAAACCCTAAACCCTAAACCCTAAACCCTAAACCCTAAACCATTCATGACATGAGCAGTTTGTGTTGAGGAGTTTGGGTCGAGGGCTGTTCCTAGTCGGATGCCCGAGCTTGGATTGAGAGGGTTTTGGGTTGAAGTCCATGTGCACGCGCCTCCTAGAAATCCCTGCAACTTGGACCATCTCGAAGAAGCCACGACTACTTCTCTACACCAATAGGGTTTAGGGATTAGGGTTCAGGATTTAGGGTTTAGGGTTTAGGGTTCAGGGTTTAGGGTTTAGGGTTTAGGTTTTAGGCGTTTAGGGCTATATGGCCCCTCGAACCCTAAACCCTAAACCCTAAACCCTAACCCTAAACCCTAAACCCTAAACCCTAAAGCCTAAACCCTAAACCCTAAACCCTAAACCCTAAACCCAAATTTTTAATATAAAATCTAAACCCTAAACCCTAAACCCTACTTACAGCTACCCGTGAACCTCCAAGAAACCCTGTAGACTCCAAAAGTGCAGGGGCTCCCAGACCGCCTGTAACAAAGGTTCATATAGAGGTTTATGTTTTGAGGGTTGAGGTGTGGGTTTAGGATTTAGGGTTTAGGGATTGGGGTTTAGGGTTTAGGGTTTAGGTTCTGGTCTTACAAGGATGTGTCGGGGTTACTGCTTGTGGAGCCTAGCGCCCCTGATCATGAGGGCCTGGGTAAGTTCTGAGACAGCCAAAGTAGCCCCCAGTAGTTGTCATGTGGATACTAGGGTTTAGGGTTTAGGGTTAGTAAGGTTATGACCAGTTATGAATATAATTGCCTTACTTCTAAGCCCCGCTTGAAACTACCCATGACACCTCCAAGTAGGGTTTCAGAATTCTTGGGCCGCATCCGCCGCTGTGCAGGGTCTGCCACGGGAAAGTGCTTTGAAAACCTGCATTTCTAAACCCCGGCCAAACTCTAAACCCTGAACCCTAAACCCTAAGCCCCCGAACCCCAAACTCGCAGGACTTGGTCTGGGTTTGGGGCTGAGTCTTGCGAATAACATCAGCCCAGTTTCGGGCCTGGTCTAGAGTAATGGAGGGCATACTTAGTACAACCATACACCTTAAACAAGGGTCAATATGCCCAAAGCGCATGTCCTTGCTGTAAGGGCATAGAGCTTACTCCAGGTAGGATTGAGCGCCAAGGCTCATGTTTGGGAATGAGTTGAGGGTCTCAGATCTAGGATTCATTCACGCATTGAGTTCGCAAACCCGAAGACCCCAACACCTTGGGCTCTGAGCCCGAAGCCGTAAACCAAACCCTCAACCCTAACACAAGTATTCGGCTTATGTGGCCAGGCTTCGGTAGCTTTCAAGAGGGTGGGTTCAAGATGGGGGGGGGGGGCCTTTTGAGGGTTCCTTGCTTCAACTGGGATTGTACATAGCCGCTATAAGGAGATAACATTTGGCAACTATTTTGGGAAATACAGGATCTCTAAGGAGATAACATTTGGCAACTATTTTGGGAAACTCAGGATCTCTAAGGAGATAACATTGGTAACTATTTAGGGAAATACAGGATCTCTAAGGAGATAACATGGGTAACTATTTAGGGAAAGCGTGTTAGGATCCCACTCTCTTCCTGTTCCGCGCGCCGGCTGAGTTGCCTTCCTCGCTTCTTCGCCGCGTCGGGCAGCGCGTCACTGGAGGCGCTTCCGTCACGGCTCGCGCCCTGCGGCGTAAATGGGTAGTTGTAAGTAGGTAGGGTTATGAGTACCCTAGATAAGGTTATAACCAGTTATGACCAAGTAGCGTTGGAAGTACCCTAGATAAGGTTATAACCAGTTATGACCAAGTAGCAAAAGTCGGGTGGTTGGCTTGCTACCGGCCTTGTGGAACTTGGGGTTCTAAGGCCGACTGCCAGACTTACCCCGAGGTGTACGAGAACCGCGTAAAGCCATCCGGCGGCAAGGGCTCATACTTGAGGCTGGAAGGGTCTTCTCGCCTTGGGGTTCTGAATGCACGTCGGTAGAAGGGTAGGGTAGGGCTCGGGGCTTAGGGTGTAAGACGCTGGCCAGTCGGGATACCACTGCCGCACTACACAGACCTGAGAACGCCAAAACCTCAGGCTCTGATCAGCCGGACCAGATGAAAGGGGCTTTGGGGTTAGGGTTCCTGATTCTAACGCTGCGGACACGCGCCCTTAGAAGCCCGCCTCGAAACATCACGACCGTTTTGGTGGCCGCATGTTGCAAGCAGCAGCGGCATTTGCGGGTTTACGAAAATGAGGGACCCCTACACTAGACCCCCAAAGAGTAGGATCCCCTTATAATCAGGATCACGACCCCAATAAGGTACGAGTACCTCTGATTTCAGAAACCCTCATTTCGGGCGAAGTAAAGCCGCAGAATCATCCAAAAGTTCCGCGCCTTGTCGTAGCTGGTCGTAGCTCAAGCAGCAGTCAACATCGTCCGGGAGGTCCCTCAGCGGTGACACAAGACTGAGTTCGGGATGAGAAGTCGTATGGCAGAGAAACTCAGCCCGCCATACTACGCCAGGCCAATGGTTCGACCCACCAGCTTCAAGAGCTTCAGAGACCCGTGCCTCCACCCTCTTCCCCCCTACTTGGACGTTCATGGCACTTATTAACGAATTACAACTGTACTTACAACTGTACTTATACCCATATTCGGGCACTTAAGGGGCTTGTAAGTGGGTTCTAAGTACAGGTATGATTGGTTGATAAGTACCATGAACCTCCAAGTACACCTCCTGACACAAGTTTCCGAAATTAGGCACCTTATTGGGGTCCTTGTTCTAAGGGAATCCTGACCTTGGGGGGTCTATCTTAGGGGTCCCTTATTGAAACCCCCAAGTGAGGCTTGGGGCCTCCCCCGGAATGAAAAAGGTAACGGTCTTGTTACAACGGGGTATTCATTACTCCGTTAGCAAGCGTGGTGAAAACTACACTTTTCCGCACCCTGCTATTCCGCACGAGTCTTCAGTAGCTGCACGGTAACTTACAGGCCCGGTTGGTCGAAACCTTTGTAGTTGTGCATGAACCTCGAAAAGAAGATCAAGCAACCACATCACGGCACGGACGATATCGCAAGATTGCATAGTAAGTGCTTTTAAGCGCCTACTTGTGGGTCAACCAGTCGAAACATGCGAGGTTCTTTACCGCCCTAAACCCTAAACACTAAACCCTAAACCCTAAACCCTAGATTCTAGACCCTAAACCCTAGACCCCAAACCCTAAACCCCAAACCCCAAACCCTAAACCCTAAACTCCAGGGTTCCCTCCATTCAACTTACCTCCTATTCTACTGAACTACCCAGAGAACACCCTCGGCTGCACATAGGAGGGTAGCTATAAACTAAATCTTTAGCTGCCTGATTAAGAAACCCAATAAACCCAAAAAGGCTAAGGATCTAAAGTTACAGTGAAGAACCACAAAGGGTTTAGGGTTAAGGAGTAGCGAAAACTTGCTGTCTCTCGGGAATACACCTTGATTCAGGCATTTCACACTATACGGGGTTTAGGGTTTCGGGCTTCCTTCGATGTGGCTTCAGGCTAGATTACCCTAAACCCTAAACGCTAAACCCTAAACCGGCTAAACCCTAAGCCCATTCGGAAGTCTCTACTAAGGATTTCGGGCTCGGGGCTAAGAACCTGTATCCTGTCAGCGCTCAGGCTTGTAACCCTTAACCCTAAACCCTAAACCCTAAACCCTAAACCCTAAACCCTGAAAAGACCAGAATTTGGAGGTTTGGGTGTTAGGGTTTAGGGTTTAAGGGGGCACTCCAGGCAGCAACTGAGTCACTGCTGCCTCCCTTGAGTACAGGCCAACACCCCAGCAAATCCGACTTTCTCTTTTTTGGTTCAGGGTTTTCGGATTTAGGGTTTAGGGTTTAGGGTTAGAGTTTAGGGTTTGTCTCTCTCTCTCTCTCTCTCTCTCGCTCTCGTCTCGCTCTCGCTCACTTAAACCTTGTCTTGTAGATCTGTCACGAAACTTCCACGTACATCCAACGAGATGCCAGAACGCAGAAACCCTAAAACCTAAACCCTATAAACCCTAAACCCTATCAACCCTAAACCCTAAACCCTACAAAGCCTGTAAACCCTGTAAACCCTATAAACCCTATAAACCCTACAAACCCTATAAGCCCTAAACCCTACAACAGCCACGCCCTGCGCAATGCAGCTCATCACAGCGGGTTCGCCAACCCTATCCCTATCAACCCTAAGGCCCCCCCCCAACCCTATCAACCCTAAGGCCCCCCCCCCCCAACTTGTGATGCTCCCCCCTTATACTCTCAGTTTAACAGTCCTTAATCGGGATGATAATAGGGGGTACGATGATCTTCTACCCAGGGCTGTGGGTAGAAGGGGGAACATCCCAACCCCCAAACCTAAATTCCTGAACCTCAAATCCTCACAGCCGCACAACCTCCTCCAAGGGGCGGCCCCGCTGAAGCTGGGCGAAGAGGGCCCTCGAAGCAGCCGCGAACGCTACAGCATCCAGTGGTGCGGATGCAAGTACCTTTGGCAGCCCCGAGTGGTTTCGGGCTTTACCCTAAACCCTAAACCCTAAACCCTAAACCCTAAACCCTAAACCCTAAACCCTAAACCCTAAACCCTAAACCCTAAACCCTAAACCCTAAACCCTAAACCGGCTCCGGGGAGAGCACGGCGCGAGTTTTTCTGCTTCCCGGCGTGTGATCGTGGGGGAAAAGGCCTGGTGGGCTTCAGCCTTTAGGGGTGCAGGGGTCCTGCAACCCAGTGGGTTTAGATGGGAGAGCCGGGTGCTCACTGATTCGGGGCTTTGCGAAGAGAAGGGGCCCCTAACATAGACCCCAAGTATCCCCAAGTAGTAGGATTCCCTTACAATAAGGATCCCAAGAAGGTACCCCCTCACTTCGGAAACCACCATGCCTGGATAGGCATCCGTCAGTCAAAAAGGTGGGAAGTCAGCGTGCAAGCGAACCCTGGCTTGAGAGAATTACTTAGGGTTTAGGGTTTAGGGTTCAGGGTTTAGGGTTTAGGGTTTAGGGTTTAGGATTCAGGGTTTAGGGTTTAGGGCTGAGGGTTGAGGGTTTAGGGTTGAGGGTTTGGGGTTTAGGGTTTAAGGTTTAGGGTTTAAGGTTTGGGGAAGCGCTAATATAGGGGTCGGAATAATCACTAAATTTTTTCAGGCCCCTGTATTGGTTTGGGAAAGCTTGCAGAGTTCAGTTCTAGGGATCACACCGGAAAGCCTGGTCACCTGGTCACCAAAATCCCCGAAAATTGGTGGGCTTAGGGTTTAGAGGCCGGCAGCACACCAGACCGGCAGCACACCAGCCCGGGTCCGGGGTTTAGGATTAGGAGTTAGGGTTTGGGGTTTAGGATTCAGGGTTTAGGGTTTAGGGTTTAGGGTTTAGGGGTTTAGGGGTTTAGGGTTTAGGGTTTAGGGCTGGTTAGAGGCACGTCACCCACCGTGCGAAGTGGGTTGCTGTTCGGCGTCGGTCCACGTACAACGCCCACATACCACGCTGGAAACCAAACCTAACCCTGAACCTGTTGCAGGGTTTCAAGCTTTAGGGTAAACGCTTTTAAGGTTCAGGCTTTCCTTCCAAGATACTTCGGCATTCTTCGGTGGCGCTGCTCCAGGTCGTGCACCACTCCGCGATAAGGCCTGCATGGTTGGGGCGGCTGACAGGCTTTGCTCGGCTCTCTAAAACATCCATCACTAACTCATGTTTTCAACTTCTGTCCGACAGCCTTGAACCTTGGACTCTCCAAACCCTAAACCCCAAACCCCAAACCCTAAACCCTAAACTCTCAACCCCAAGCCAATTTGCAGCCTGGCTTGTTCACTGCTCCTACCAATCTGTGCATGGCGGGTCTTACTGTGAGCCGGTTGACGGTTTATAAGTGTAGGGCTTCCAGGGCCTCCGGTTTCGGGGTTCAGGGTTCGGGGCTCGGGGTTTAGGGTTCAGGGCTTCAGCGTGCTACTCGAAAGCCGCACCCTAAACCCTAAACCCTAAACCCTATGTTGACACTTGTCTGGGTCCCCAGGCGAGCAGTGCCGGTCGAAGCGGTAGAAGTCGAACCAGCACGCATGCTCATCCACGCGCTTCCTCCGTCGAGGGTTTTGCGGGTTTAGGGTTTAGGGTTTAGGGTTTAGGGTTTAGGGTTTAGGGTTTAGGGTTTAGGGTTTAGGGTTTAGGGTTTAGGGTTTAGGGTAGGGTTTAGGGTTTAGGGTTTAGGGTTAGGGTTTAGGGTTTAGGGTAGGGTTAGGGTTTAGGGTTTAGGGGTTTAGGGTTTAGGGTTTAGGGTTTAGGGTTAGGGTTTAGGGTTTAGGGTTTAGGGTTAAGGGTAAGGTTAAGGGTTAAGGGTTTAGGTAGGGTAGGGTTGAGGGTTTTCGGGCTTTAGGGCTTCCGAATTTTTTTTTTGGGGGGGGGGGGGGGGGGTTTTGGGGCTTTAGGGGTCCAGGACCTTAGGGTTGTTTTAGGTTTTTGGTACTTCGCACGGTCGACAGCCGCGCTGCCTTTAATTCGGCTCCTTCCAGCCTAAGCGCCGAATCCTCTACCACCCCACCCCCTCCTCCGCAAGCCCCCGTTCAAGGCCCTGGGATCTCCCCCAACCCTGAGCCCCTAAACCCGATAAACCCTAAATCCTCAACCCTGAACCTTTGAAAAGGAAACAAACTACGCCTCCCCGTAAACCTTAAATCCTCAACCCTAAACCCTAAACCCTAAGCCCTAAACCCTAAACCCTAAACCCTGCACCTGTGAAAAGGAAACAACCTGCGCCACCCCGGGTTCTTTGGGAGTGTCTAAGAGGGTTCAAGGCGTTTAGGGTGTAATTAGGGTTTAGGGTTTTTAGGGTTTAGGGTTTAGAGTTTATAGTGTGGGGGGGGGGGACCTGTTTGAACCCCGAAAGCCCTCAATACCCCTAAAGAACCCTAAATCCGAAAGCTCACGCTAAAAGAGCCTAAACCCATAACCCACCCTTCAAACTGAGATGAGCGCTTGATGGCTTCCACAAGTGGACGGCGTGTCTGCACGAGATCCTGGCCCCAGGGTTTAGGGTTTACGGTTTAGGGTTTAGGGTTTGGGGTTTAGGGTCTGGGGTTTAGGGTTTAGGGTTTGGAGTTTAGGGTTTTGGGTTTAGGGGTTGGGTTAGGATCAGGTCCACGTCCACAGCAGCTTCCCTGGCCTTCACGTACATGTACAGGTCCAAAGATACTGCCTCCTGCGGCAGCCAAGGCTCACGCCACAGGGTTTCTGGGGCTTGGTGCGCCCTGGACCCGCTGTATAAGAGAAGTGCCTCAGAAACGCAGCCCCGACCCTTCAGGGAACCCTCCATGTCCTGAGGCCAGCGGATGCTGATGGAGGGCCACTCGATGAGGTCCTGCACCACTGCAAGTACAGCTAGCTGGGTTTTGCAAAAGAACTTCAGGCTACTATCTTGTTGTCTAGAAAACTCTTTGCTTTGATCCGGCTGAGGTTCCTTAAAGAACCCAGTCATCAGTGACTTCGGATTGATCCGAGAACCGTGTCGGGCTGAACAGGCCGTTGAAACCCTTGAACATCTTCCTACAGATCAAGCTCAATATCCCAAGGGCCTGCCTAGCTGGGGTTCGGGTTAGAGCTTGAAGTTTAGGTTGTCCATGTTCGGAAGCTTCAGCCGGGTGCTTCAGGACCCATTTAGAGTAGAAATTGAACACGCCCCAAACACCTCGCCAACGACTGCTCTAATTGCGCCGGCCCGGCGGAATCAACCCTTCTGCAGGCCCTTGCCATGTACATGAGACCCTACATATGGACATGTACTTCTTGGGTCACCCACAATTGGTGGGTTGGTGGTTTGTTGAGGGAATGCGGTAGGGCACAGGCCCAGTTTAGGGTTTCGGGTTTAGGGTGTAGGGCCTGTAGGGTTTCGGGTTTAGGGTTGAGGGACCTGAAAAGGAAGGACGTAGCGATCTGAAAGGATCAGTGGGATGCAGCCGGCGAAGAAGCTCTCATAGAGGTGGTTCCTGGCCAAATCCCACACCACAATAGAGACCTATGTCCGAAGCCCTAAACCCAGACCCCATCCAGTGGGGCTGCGAACCGCTGTCCCTCCCCAAGAATCTTTGCAGTTATGACTGACTACACCCTCAACCCTACACCCAAAGGACCCAAAAAACCCAAACCCGAAATCCTCCAACCCTGAAACCTGAATCCTCAAACCCTACACCCTGAACCCTACACACCGTGGAGGGCACTGCCTCAATTGAAACCCAACAACGCGGCGACTGCTTGGGAACTTCACATAAAAGAACCACGATCGTGCTTGGGGTTCGGAACATCGAAATTCAGGTACCAGAACAGGGGCATGTGGTGAACAATACGGCCTCTCCACAGTCAGAACTTAAGTTCCTAAACCCTAAACCCTAAAGCAGAGCAATCCGGACAAGCCCAGGCGGCGTCCACGAAGAAGTCCCCTCCGGGATCAGGCAGAAGTGGCTGCTGCCTGAGTGAGGAGTAGGCGAAGGGAATGAGGAAACTAGCTACCTTTTATCTCCGATGCATACAGACTATATTCATACATACACACATATGTGTATATATACATATAGATGTATATATATATACATATATATCTGCTATATATGGATGTATGTACATGTATATGGGTACACGTGTATATATATATATATATATATATATATTATAATGATTCGAATAAGGTTTTTATTTGGCTCATTCCCTACGCGGAACCAATAAGTTCAGGGCTCGAGGATCCTTTTTCTGCTTTGGACGAGGCACCGAGTGGAGCTGAGATTAGGGTTTAGGGTTTAGGGTTTAGGGTTTGGGGTTTAGGGTTTAGGGTTTAGGGTTTTCTTTATGGCAGCCATGCGCACGCAAGAGCTCTGGCGTCTCTTTTGAACAAGTGGGGGCAGCGCGTCGGCGCAGATTCCAGGAAAGACAGGAAGTTGGGGTCTTTAGATGCTGATGGGCACTCGCGCGATGCAGACCATAGGATGGTTCCAGAGGATTGTGCCTCGCCGAGATCTGAAGACTGCCGCAGCCTGGTCTGGGTCATTGGGATCATCCGGGTACATCACTTGCGGTCCAGAGAATCGCAAAAGATCCCTGGGCACAGGTGGAAAGTCCTCAACTGCCACTGCTCTTGCACGTCGGCCATCTGCTGGACGAGGAGGCCGTATCTGCAACCTCAGGCGGGAGGGAACCAAAAGTCCAGCCTTGGGGTGACTGGATCACGCCAGAAGCTGTAGAGCTTGGCCAGCATCTCACCGGACCACCTGAAATCGCCAGCGGCGTCAACATCAGGAAGAACTCCCAGCCATGCCAGACTGGCAGGGATTCTTACCTGGTCGCAAACCCTGTCAAATGCCATGCAGAGAAACAGGAATGCAGAAAGGACGTTGTCAGCCATGTCCAAGGATGGGAGAGTCGTGAACTTCGCCTCAGGTGTGCTTCCCTTCTCTGATTCTGGTGCTTCGTATAGCCAGCCAAGTTCAGCGGAGATGAGAACAGTCCTTTGGAGGGGGCAGATGAGGAATGGAACCTCCTGGGTCCATGTGTTTGCACACCTCTGCCGAAGACTGAAGTTCCACCCAGAAGTAGGGTCCTTTGCAATTCTGACCTCCGGCAGGCCTCGACTCATCAGGTAATGGTGCATGCCTAGCAAGCCAAGTTCCACCAGAAGTGGGTCTCGATTCCCACGATTCGAGTCTTTGGGCATTGTCCAACGCCGATCTCCAGGATGGAAATTGCCGACTACGTACTCTGCAGCCGCTCCTGTCCAGACCTCATTGGGCACACCAAGTGGCGACCTGTGCACCCTGGTCACGTCCCATAGGGCATACAACGAGGGACCGGTGGTGTCAGCCCTTGTTCCAGCGCCCATGGTCATCTGCTGTGTTGAACAGGACCACCATCAGGATGCCAAGTGGACCAGGAATCTCATGAGTGCCATCGAACCAGTTGTGCTGATCATGCTAAGGATGGTTCGGGTCAGCCAGAAAGCCAAGCATCTCGTGCAAGACACAGGCCGGGAGTGTTGGGATTGGGCCAACCGCTCCAAAGCTGTCGACCAGAATGGACCAAGCCTCCGCGGGTATGGGCACGTCCAACTGAACTGCACCCGCATTCACCAGTGCAAGGATATTCTGGGAAGCCTCCTGAGCAACATCGCGAAGGTAGCAGAGAGAAGTCCTCTCAGCCTGAACGTCCTGATCGTGAAGCCAGGCCAACGGTACTTCGGGTGTGAAGGCCACCTCGCGGGTTCCGATGAAGCATGTGCACCTCAGCGCGTTCATGACCACGCCAGCATGCTGCGTGATGAGATACTGCAGGCTAGAAAGGTGGGCATCGGCAGCACCCCCAAATCTGGCTGCCACTGCACCAAGCCTGCCAACAACCCACATGTAATCACGAGACGGTCCCATTGGCCAGCAGCCTCCTCGTTGCAAATCCGCGTCTCGGCCGGGTTAGGGTTTAGGGTTTAGGGTTTGGGGTTTAGGGTTTAGGGGAACGAACTAAAAACAAACAAAACATCTCCCTTGCTTGGTTACATGCAAACAATAACCAGTCCGAAACCCCGAAGCCTTAATCCTAAGCCCTCAACAGGCTGCCAAGAGTTTAAGGTCAGGGTTTAGGGTTTAGGGCTTAGGGCTTAGGGTTTAGGGTTCAGGGTTCAGGGTTTAGGGTTTAGGGTCTGGGAGCCCGCAAAGAACTGCCCATGGAAATGCTCCCGGAAGATGGTCTCTCCCTCGAGTGCGCGGCCCATCACTTCGAAGTACTCCTCGATGAAGCCGCCGACCTGGGGGTTTAGAGTTTAGGGTTCAGGCTTCAGGGTTAGGGTTCAGGGTTTAGGGCTTAGGGTAGGCCTATTCAGGGCCCGTTTACCCTATGGCTCCTAGGACTCCTATTTTAAGGCTTTTGGGCCCAAAAAGGCCTTATTATGGAAGGTTTTGAGCCTAAGGGTTCGGGTTTGGGGTCTAGGGTTGAGGGTTTCGGGTGCAGGCTTCGGGGTTCGGGGGTCTGGAATTTGGGGTTTATTGGGGCTTAGAGGGCTTCCTGGAGGGCTTTCGGGTTCAGTTCTTAAGGGGTCGCTTTGAGGATCTTACGCGGATCTGGCCTCCGAAGAAAGCCCGCAACTCTCCCTCCTCCACATCATTCAACGGTTTGTTTTTTCTAATTGTTTCTTCTGGATTGTAGGGTTTAGGGTTCAGGGTTCAGGGTTTAGGGTTTAGGGTTTAGGGTTTAGGGTTTAGGGTTTAGGGTTTAGGGTTTAGGGTTTAGGGTCGTGCTGAGCTGGCCGCGCTCACATCCGGCAGCTCCGCGAATTGCAGCAGCGCCCGGCGCACGCCGACCTTCCTGGCTTTCTTCGGGTCTTTCAGGGCGTATTTGAGGCTCGGGGATGCCTAGGGCTTAGGGTTTAGGGTTTAGGGTTTAGGGTTTAGGGTTCAGGGTTTAGGGTTTAGGGATGTCAGGGTTTGAGGGGTTGAGGACTTAGGCTCTCTGGGTTCATGGTTGTAGGATTCGGACCACCTGGACCATTCGCCCATGCACCTGCTGTCACAGAGGGGGGAGGGGGAAGGTGGGAGGCAGAGGGGGGGGGGGGGGGGAGGGGGAGGGGGAGGGGGGGGGGGGGGAGGGGGAGGGGGGAGGGGGAGGGGGGAGGGGGAGGGGGAGGGGGGGCGGGGGGGGGGAGGGGAGGGGGAGGAGAGGGGGAGGGGAGGGGGAGGGTAGGGGGAGGGGAGGGGGAGGGGAGGGGGAGGGGAGGGGGAGGGGAGGGGAGTGGTGGAAGGGGACTGTACACAAAGCCCCGAACCCCCAAAAACGCCTTAACCCCGGAATCCCTTGAACTTTTCAGGCCTAAATCCCGAAATGAAGGACAAAAACCTGAGCCCCTATATGAACCCTGAGCCCTAAATCCCTGAGCCCTAAACCCTAAACCGTGAACCCTAAACCCTAAACCCCAAACCCCAAACCCTAAACCCTAAACCCTAAACCCTAAACCCCAACTTCCATGGGGGCCCGGGCTCGTAGTAGTCGTGGTTGACGGGAAGGCGCCCATGGAAGTTAAAAAGCAGGCCTGGGAAAAAGGGAGGGGAAAGCTTCGGCTTGCACTTGAAGGGTTTAGGGTTTAGGGTTTAGGGTTTAGGGTTTAGGGTTTAGGGTTTAGGGTTTAGGGTTTAGGGTTTAGGGTTTAGGGTTTAGGGTTTAGGGTTTAGGGTTTAGGGTTTAGGGTTGCAGGTTTAGGATTTAAGGTCTGGGGTTTGGGGTTTCTAAACCCCTAAACCCCTAAACCCCTAAAACCCCTAAACCCCTAAACCCCTATCCCCCTAAACCCCTAAACCCCTAAACCCCTAAAACCCTAAACCCCTAAACCCCTCAACCCTAAACCCCTAAACCCCTAAACCCCTAAACCCCTAAACCCCTAAACCCCTAAACCCCTAAACCCCTAAACCCCTAAACCCCAACACCCTAAACTCCTAAACCTGAACCTTAACCCAGCTTCTGGTGGAGAGGTTTCGGCCGTGTCTGCTCAAAGGCCTGGAATTGGGTCGCGCAAGATGCTTCCACGGGTTGAGGGTTTAGAGCTTAGGGTTTAGGGTTTAGGGTTTTGAGTATAAGGTTCAGGCTTTAGAGTATAGGGTTTAGGGTTTTAAAGGGGTGATGCAAAAAGAATGCCCGCTTGTGCTGCCTTCCCCTACTGCAAAGCAGTGTGCATGGTACTTGCCGTGTCAGCAGGCACTGTCCCCAAGAAACGTCCGAGCAACCCAGCATCAGGGCTCCAAATGCTAGGGAGGGGCCAGCCGAACCGCACATCTGCCCTTACTGCGCGAAAACTCTACTAAACCCTGAGCCCTAGAACCCAAAATCCTACACCCTGAACTCAACCCTAAACCCTACACCCTAAACCCTAAGGCCCAAGATGCTTCTGTTGCTGGAAGGCTGGTTGAAGCTGCGGATGCGCTCCATTCGATCAAGGTCGATGTGGCCTTTCGGGCCATCTTGGCGTCCAGGGCTTTGGGCTTTGGGGTCTTCAACAACTCAAAATTCAGTCATCATAGGGTAGACACATCATAAAATGGCAGACCCTTTTTTTAAGTAACTTCGTTTAAGTTCCTGAACTACCAACCCAGCCCAGGTTGAGACCAGCCGAAGCTAAGAATATGAATAACATGAGCGATCGGCGATATGAAGAATATGCATCATGCGAATCTGTGAAAATATGAACAGTTCCTGGCGTCCATAAAGCGCAGAGAATTGCACAGAACAATCACAGTCAATGTTCACAAGGCTCATCACAAACAATGAGAATAGCAGCTGCAAGCGTGGTTTTTGGCATTTGGGGAGGTTTACGATCATAAGGGACCCCTAATGTAAACCGTAGGATCCCCTTACAATAAGGACCCCCATAAGGTACCCCTGATATCGCAAACTCCCATATCACGTCTTCCATGCGGAGCTTCCGCTACGAGACGGTAGAAAGCTCTGTCGACTTCAAAGCCAGCCCGGGGCGGTTCTGAAAGCCTGAAGCCCTGAAGACCCCAGACCCCAAACCCTATCCTGCAGTAGAATCGGAACAATCTACAACGTGGCAAAACTAACCCTAGACCCTGAACTCAAAAACCCTAAACCCTAAACCCAAAACCCCAACATAGGACTCTACTGTTTCATAGCCACGGCAAGCGGAGGCGCGGGGCCTGGGATGACGGCATCCTGGTCCGACTAAACCCTATATAAACCCGGTATAAGGGTTTAGGGTTTAGGGTTTAGGGTTTAGGGTTTGGGGTTTAGGGCTTAGGGTTTAGGGTTTAGGGTAAGCACTCTCTAAACTAGCTACAAACCCTATAAGCCCCACAAACCCTAATTAGAAACCCTGTAAACCCTATAAACCATAGAAACCCTAGAAACCCTAAAAACCCTTAGGCCTGTCAAAAAAACGAACTGCTATAACCCCTACACAGCAATCGGGTGATGAGAGGGGTAACATCGTTGCAGTTAGGTCTCAAGAACACTCATACTGCATGCGAGCCGAACCAAAAAAGCTTAGGATTTAGGGTTTCGAGTTTCAGGGTTTCAGGCTCTGCCCAAAGCTGCAGAAAGGCTGGAACCAAAGTGAACCCAAAGCTCAGAACCCCTCCGAGCCACGACTCAACACCCCCCAGACACGCCCGTCAAACCCTGCAAGCCCCAACCCTAAACCCTAAACCCCAAACCCCCAAAACGCTAAACCCTACTCCCCACAACCCTAAACCCTAAACCCTAAACCCTAAACCCGCCCACCACTCGAAACCCGTCCTTCCAGGGTGAGAAGCAGCCCGGGCCACAACCCGGCGTGAAGGCCTGGCAGGAGGTCGGGGCTGGCTTCTGAGGGTGAAGCTTATAAGGTTTAGGGTTTAGGGTTTAGGGTTTAGGGTTTAGGGTTTAGGGTTTAGGGTTTAGGGAAAAGGGAAGAGGGAAGAGGGAAGAGGGAAGAGGGCTGAGGGTTTAAGGGTTACAAGCTTTGGCGGCTTTAGGTTTGGAAGTTAGAAGGCTTAGGGTATGTAAGCTGCAGGGTTTAGGTTTATAAGGTTTAGGCTTATAGAAATTGTGCTGGGGAAGAAGTGCTGACCAAAACATTTGACCGAAAGATTTCCTTTTGGAATCTGCACTCTAGTGCCAGCGTGTTCGGGGCACCCAGAAAACTCTTTATCGAAGACCCTTATTGTCGGAATCCCCTCATATAAACATATACATATATATATACATATACATATATATATATATATATATATACATATACATATATATATATACATATTACATGTATATTAATATTCTTGGGAGGGGGGTTGGGAGGGCTGGCGAGCATGCTCAGGGCTCAAGGAGTTTAGGGTTTAGGGTTAGAGTGGTAGAGCATCCCAATTTAAGGGCTGAGCTCACGGTCTAATGGTCGAAACACAAACCCTATACCCAAATCCCCTGGCATCGTCTCGAGCGATGCACCATGGGTTCGGGGTTTGGCGTTGAAGGCTGCGAGCCCCTTGGATGCTGTCCGCCTCCGTCGTGAGAAAGATGGAGTGAGGGATGTGGTCCTCACAAGCCAAATCTTGCTGGGTAGAGGGGTATGAAGGAACCCTTGTGACACCTTGTGGTTCCTAACTCCCTAATTGGCCAAGATTCCTTTCACACAACCATAAACACGCAACCCGAGCCCTACACCTTCACTAGCCCTAACAACCCTGGAGCATGTTTCTGGACACGCTACCACGGGCAGGGTGCTAGGATGTCGGGCCTATGAAGTAAGAGCCGAGAACTGAATGGGCAGTCCTCTAAATCAGGGTCCTTTTTCTAGGGGTCCGTACTATATAAGGACCCACAAAGGGAACCTAATCTGGCGAACTACACTCAAATGTGGCTTCAATGTCGGGACTGGGGCAGCCACCCGCCAAGACGGGAAGGTGTGTGTGAAGTTGACGATGAAGCCCTGATCCTGGCGTTGTGGAGGTGAGGGCTTCGCGTTGCACTCCCCTCAGATGGCTCCTAAACAGCCCAAACCCCTAACCCCTAACCCCTAACCCCTAACCCCTAACCCCTAACCCCTAACCCCTAAACCCTAAACCCTAAACCCTAAACCCTAAACCCTAAACCCTAAACCCTAAACCCTAAGCCCTGGACTGCTTGCGATCCCTAAGCTTCAGGGCTTGCTCACTCCCAGGCCCTTGAGCCGCAGAAGGTCCAAAAGGCTGCGTAGGCCCTAGTTGTATAGGGGTTTAAGGCTTAGGGTTTAGGGTTTAGGGTTCCGAGTTTAGGGTTTAGGGTTTAGGGTTTAGGGTTTAAGGTTTAGGGTTTAGGGTTTAGGGTTTAGGGTTTAGGGCTTAGCCCCTGATGAGGTCCGAGAAGATGAAGATGTGGTCCATGCCCTTCTTGCGATCCTGAGGTGCGCTTACACCCCAGGGCCCCACAAGTCACCGAACTCTTTTTTTCGGGGGGACCTTCGGGTTCTGGCTTGCTTCATTTGTGGCGCCCCTAAACCCTAAACCCTAAACCCTAAACCCTGAACCTGTGATTGCGAACGGCTGTCCGCGGCCGCAAGTGGAGTCTGCCCAAAAAAACCCGAAAAGCCGAAAAGCCGAAAAGTCGAAAAGTTGATCGGGGCACACGCTTGGCGCGAAAAGGCGAAAAGGCGAAAAGGCGAAAAGTCGAAAATGCGAGAAAAGTGCCGAAAAACCTGAAAAGTCACCAAAAAACGAAAAGTCGAAAAGTCGAAAAGTCGAAAATGCGAGAAAAGTACCGAAAAGTCCGAAAAGTCACCAAAAAAACGAAAAGTCGAAAAGTCGAAAAGTCGAAAAGTCAAAAAGCTGAAAGGTTATGGAATAATCCCGAAAAGTTGGAAAAGTCGAAAGCATGAATATTTTCGAACAATCCTGAACGTTCCGAGCAGTTTGAAAGTCCCCAAATGTCCAAAAGCCGAAATGTCTACAGGCGGAAAAGTGGGCAAAGCAGAGAAAACGTGAGAAGTTTCGAGAAGTGTCTACAAGTTGTACCCTAAACTTTAAACCCTAAACCCTAAACCCTTGACTCTTAAACCCTAAACCCTAAAGTTGTAAGGTCAAGTGCCGCAATCCAGGTTTTTTTTTTTTATGCGTTCGGCGGGGGGATGGGGGGGGGTTGGCTTGGGCGGCACGGACTGGATGGACACGCAGTTGTCCTGGAAGCTGTAGACCTCACGGATTGGGGGGACAGGGACGACTAAACCCCAAACCCCAAACTGTAAAAATATGTATAAGGCTGGTTCAGGGCAGACCTTACACCTTTCAAGAAAACCCTAAACCCTAAACCCTAAACCCTAAACCCTAAACCCTAAACCCTCAACCCTCAACCCTCAACCCTCAACCCTAAACCCTAAACCCTAAACCCTAAACCCTAAACCCTAAACCCTAAACCCTAAACCCTAGCCCTAGCTACGTGTTGATGTTCAATAGCGGCTAGCAGTGCACGATGACATCAATGTTGGGCTTGTCAATGTCTCGACTATTCGGGGTTTAGGGTTTGGGGTTTGGGGTGTGGGGTTCCCGGCGAGACCCGAAAAGTCGAAAAGTCGAAAAGTCGAAAAGCCACGAAAAGTCGAAAAGTAGCGAAAAGTCCCGGCGAGGCCCGAAAAGTCGAAAAGTCGAAAAGTCGAAAAGCCATGAAAAGTCGAAAAGTACAGAAAAGTCCCGGCGAGACCCGAAAAGTCGAAAAGTCGAAAAGTCGAAAAGCCACGAAAAGTCGAAAAGTAGCGAAAAGTCCCGGCGAGGCCCGAAAAGTCGAAAAGTCGAAAAGCCATGAAAAGTCGAAAAGTACAGAAAAGTCCCGGTGAGACCCGAAAAGTCGAAAAGTCGAAAAGTCGAAAAGTCGACAGCTTTTCGACTTTTCGACTTTTCGGCTTTTCGGATTTTTACGGCGTCTCCGCTTATCTGAAAGCGCGCCAGCTTGCGATCTTAGAAACCCTAAACCCTAAACCCTAAACCCTGCGCCCAAGCATTTCCGAGCTTGGAGATGTTGAGGGGGGGAGGAGCCCTAAACCCTAAACCCTAAACCCTAAACCCTAGACAGGTGAAAGCATATCGCAAGAGGAAGGATCATGAACCTCGAGGCCCCTTTCTGTGTTCACGAGATCCATACTCGTACCCTGAACAGGGTTTAGGGTTTAGGGGTTTAGGGTTTAGGGTTTAGGGTTTTTTGTTTGGGGTTTAGGGTTTAGGGTTTAGGGATACTCCGAGTATGCCCCCTTCCCTCAAGAGGCTCTTAAAACAAAAAAAGGGGGGGGCTTCGAGCCCAAAGGAAGCCTAAACCCTTGCCCTAAACTCGCAGTTCATGGAAAGCATAAAAGCGCGAAAACCCGAAGGAAACCCGAAGCACGTGGGGGATGCTCCGAGCCTGGAGCCCAAAGAAGCCCAAGGAACCCCGTAAACCCTCATCCTGTTTAGGGAGAGTCAAAGCTGGGAGTCGCTTATGGACTCAACGTTTCGGGCTCTGTTTGTCCAGGTTCGCAGAAGGCCTTGCCCGTTTGGCAAAACTTCAAACTACGCCCGGGCGGGCGCTAACTTTCAATACCAGTATACCTTGACGGAGACCCAAAGAGGGTGGATCAAGCCCCACGGATGATTCAGTCAGGATACCACGTCCAACCCCACCAATCAGTTGGAGGAGTTTGGTTATAGACACTGTCATACTCTGCTAACCGTTGACGCCGTGTACCCCCGATGGCATCACACTGGCCAGGCTTGAGATAGGAGCCGAAATCGTACCTCGGTGCTGGTTGCACCAGTTGAGGAAAGCTCTCTGCGGGGATGTGATCGTAATTCCACGTGTACTTCGCAGGGTCACTACTGGCATCAACGTCGCATGGCCTGACGCTGGGATGCGAAAGAGCCCAGTGTTCAAAGGCAAACCGTCCCGTGCCAATGCAACTATCAGGATCACGACGATGGGGCCAGGTGTGGCGCCGAAAATTCTCCATGACGTCCGGGAACTGTTGGGGATCCTTCAGCCGCGCAATGTAGCCACACCGAGCAGTCCACATGTTGCCACCATAGTGCGGGTGTGGTATGGGTGACATGCGCGATGAGCACACATCACACTGAGGGGGTGGCTTCTGACAGCCTTCTGAAAAGACGCCTGCTGTGAGGTACTTTCGCAACCGGGTGTTGTTCTCGCTGTCCGTGTAGGAGCCCTTGGAGTGCAGGTAGGCAACGACTTGGGAAGGATCGGCATCTTGGCAGAAGGACCAAAGCCGGGCCAGGGTCACGTCCTCCCATCCGCCTTCGTAGGAGAGCCACTGTGCCTTTCTCTCGACATCAGCTGGCAGACCAAGATCCTCAATGTTCTTCAGCCTGAGCAGCCCAGTAACCATACCATCATAAGGGCACCCCTTTTTTTGGTTGGTTAAGTTTATAAGAAGGTACCAGTAACCATACTAAAATAAGGGAACCCTATTTTTGGTTTAATTTATAAGGGAGCCCAGAAGGTACCACTGGGCTGCCATGGGGCGCACCGAGGGAGCTGACTCGCAGCTCTTGCTGCTCGGGGTTCACAGCTTTCAACTGCTCCCGAACCTATACTCGGGTTTAGATACTCGGGTTTAGGGTTTAGGGTTTAGGGTTTAGGGTTTAGGGTTTAGGGTTTAGGGTTTAGGGTTTAGGGTTTAGGGTTTAGGGTTTAGGGTTTAGGGTTTAGGGTTTAGGGTTTAGGGTTCCTTAATAAAAAAAATTAAAAAAATCATTCCCAAGGGGGATATAGGAACAAGCTGGGCGACTCTTGGAGCATCGCTTGACGTGTTGACCCACAGGTGGTAGAAAACCACCACTGGCGGACGCTTGACGGCAAGCAAGCACGTCGCCTCTTCACCACTTGCACGGGTGAAAAGGCACACCAGAAAGCCCAACAGAACAGAACGCCAGCAACATAGTCTCATGGCAAGCTGCGGCTACTTAGTGGCCCAGTGACCATATTATGATAAGAACACCCTTTTTGGGGTTGGCTACTTTGTAAGGGAACACAGAACCATATATAAAAAAAAAGTAAAGGGTACCACTGGGCCACCAAGGCTATGAACAGGGTTAGGTCGTTGTCTCCAAGCCTTGGGCCGCCAGCTGCAGCAACAGGCACTTCGCAAGAGTCTTTGTGTCTTTTGTCAAGCCCTTTTAGGGTTTAGGGTTTAGGGTTTAGGGTTTAGGGTTTAGGGTTTGGGGTTTAGGGTTTAGGGTTTAGGGTTTAGGGTTTAGGGTTTAGGGTTTAGGGTTTAGGGTGTCGGCTTTCGGCTTTAGGGTTTAGGGTTTAGGGTTTAGTGCTCGGTGAAGCCCTAGAAACCCTAGCCCTAAACCCTCAACCCTTACCCCTGATCAGTTCCTCTACAAGCCCCGGTTTGCCTAAGCCCAGGCTGGCAGCTCGGACCAGATTAAAATACCCTAAGCCCTAGACAGCTTGGGATGTTCCCCCTTCTACTAACAGTCCTTAGTAGGTCCCTACTAAGGACTCTTAATTCAAAAGGGAACATCCCAAGCTGACTAAAGCCCCGAAGCCCTAAACCCCCACAATCTCCGAGGCAAGGCACAAAGTAGGGCAAGCTCTGAATCAGCCCCTGGCACGAGACAAGCGCTGAGGGAACCCTGAACCCTGAACCCTAAACCCTAAACCCTAAACCCTAAGGTTGAGGACAATACTAATTCAGCCCTGTATCACTTTCACTAAAACAACCCAAAAAAACCCGCTCGAATTCAGTAGGCCTATAAAATTTCTGCATGCTACAGTGCCTTTTCATCTGAACCACACTAGAGCCAAAGAAACCCTAATAAACCCTAAGCCCTAAGCCCTAAGCCCTAAACCCTAAACCCTAAACCCTAAACCCTAAACCACGTCGGGGCTGCCAGGAAGCTGCTCTCTGCCTCCTCCGCACGTCGGTACCTCACTCGCGCGGCCGCTCGCTGTAGGCTGAAAATCCCGAAACCCTAACCTGAACTTTGTTGGCTGGTTTTTAGGGTTTAGGGTGTAGGGTTTACGGTTTAGGGTTTAGGGTTTAGGGTTTAGGGTTTAGAGTTTAGGGTTTAGGGTTTAGGGTTAGTAGGGAATGAAGGAAGGAGGTACCCTAGATGATCCCTTAAAGGGCCTCATTCCCTACTAAGAACCAGGGGGACTTTGGGGTGTACCCCCAAGCCCCCGCCCCAGTGGCAACGAACGTGTTTGGAGCAGTTAAAAATCTGCCTTGGCTTTGGCTTGATTCTTTCTTACGGCCAGGGGGAGGGGGGTCCCTAAACCGTAAACCCCCGTAACCCTCTAGAACCCTAAAACCTTAAACCCTAAAAACCCTGCAACCCGCCGTCCATTGCGGACTTGGGGGGGCAGGCCAAGCCGGGGAAACGCGCCGCCCAGATCTTCCAAAACCCCTTAATTAAGGAATAGACCTTAATTTATACTAAGGATCCGTACTATGAATTAGGGTATATTCCGCAATTAAGGCGTAGACCCTAATTTATGCTAAGGATCTACACCCGAACCCCACCCGTAGAAACACTAAACAAGAGTGGGTCACTTGTCCTTGTGGTTCCGAATGACCTGCGAGTGGTAGTCGTCCCCTGGCGGGAGCTTTTTAGGCCAAGAGGGCTGTCAAGGCCTATCACACCCTACATATTTCACAATTTTCATACAAGCCCATAGAAACCCGAACCCGAAACTATCACCCTTTAAACCCTAAACGCTGTAAGCCCAAGCCCACAAACCGCAAGGTTTGCGGCGTGGGGATTTGCGGTTTGCGGGCCTGCAAGGATGCCGGGAAACTCTCACGCAGTCACCCCTCATAGGGGCATTTCCCGATATAGGGGGTACCCCAAATGTACCCCAAGATACTACAATCCTTGATAAAGGAATCCCCCAAAATGATGGGCAGTCCTATTGTTGGAACCCCCATATCTTGGGGTAGTTATATGGTGTTCCCTCAATACGGGCCCTGAGTAGTTGGGGAACCCGTTGTTAAAGAAGGAGGGACCATCCTAAGGGACCACGCAACTTCCCTTATATAGATCCCATCGTAGGCCCATAAGCCTAGGCCCACGGGCTCAAGACCAAAGGTCAATCATGCTGAAAACTTTATTTTCTCCCAGTGGCTACTATTTGGGAATTTCCCCCTTATACTAACAGTCCTTAATAGGGTAATAGGGATTACAGTACCCCCTATGTTCATCCCTAGTATAAGCGGGTAACATCCCAAGCTACGATGGCGACTATGGTGAAGATGGGAAGAAGTGCTCTTAGGGCCCTTGTGGTTTGAATGGTTCTTCGGGTTGCGAGGCCACCACCGGGTTTCGCTGCCCTCCTCTGAAACCCCTAAACCCCTAAACCCGAAACCCTAGACCCCTAAACCCCTAAACCCCTAAACCCCTAAACCCCTAAACCCCTAAACCCCTAAACCCCTAAACCCCTAAACCCCTAAACCCCTGTCTGTCTCGCCTGGATCGTCCGACGACCGCTTCATAAACCCCTAAACCCCTAAACCCCTAAACCCCTAAACCCCTAAACCCTAAACCCTGATTGCATCAGGGCACCCTCCAGGAGTGTCAGGCCCTTGTGCTGGTAGTTGGGTGCCTGGACCAAGCCAGGATCCGTAGTCCCAGTCACCAACGCAGTCATAAGCGGGGTTATCATAAGTACCCTTTTAGGGTTTAGGGTTTAAGGCTTAGGGTTGAGGGTTTAGGGTTTAGGGTTTAGGGTTTAGGGTTTAGGGTTTAGGGGTTGAGGGCTACTTGAAGGTTCATGGGTAGCTAGAACTGGGGCTCTAAGTGGGATAACTATAACCATAGGTGGTCATCACCTTCTTCCTGATTCCTGACAACCCTACTTTTAACTTCCCATGAACCTTCAAGCAGAGCGCCTCTAGGGCTTGGCTTGCAGCATTTAGTGACCAGCAGCCTCCATCACCCTAAGCCCTAGACATTAACATATACCTCAAAAAAATGGGTTTTGGGTTTAGGGTTTAGGGTTTAGGGTTTAGGGTTTAGGGTTTAGGGTTTAGGGATGGTTTAGGGCTTCAAGGTGGCGAAGGTCGCGAAGAATAATGCTGAACATCCCTCCCAAGCCCCAGAGTCAAAAATGCTTGGGGTTCAGGGCGGAGGGTTGAAAAGCCCCAGGACAACCCCCTAAAAGCCAACCCCACAAAAGCATACAAAAAATATACAAACATATACAAAAATATACGAAAATTTACAAAAACATACCAAAACATACCAAAATATACCAAAATATACCAAAATTTACCAAATATACCAAAATATACCAAAAATATACAACAATATACAAAAATAGGATGCTGCTCAGGGCACCAGATGGATGTGGCAGGCGCGGTAGTCAGGAACCAGGAACAGGTCCGCCTGCTCTGGGCTGGTGTCAGGACCTCCCCGAAGCCCTGCAGCCCCAAAAACCCGCCTTTATGCGCCTATATGTATAGAAAAAACATACTCTACATGTATGTATATATGTGTGTGTGTGTGTTATATGTATATGTATATACGTATATCTGTATATATCGTTTTATTTATTTATATTTATATTTATAGATTATACAAATATGATTTTAGTATGTGTATGAATATACTAGAACCATATATATATACACCTTTCTATATACATATATACATGTACAGATATGGTCGCCCCCCCACCAATGGACCAACCTCGACTGTGAAAGATCCTGTATGCAGTACATGTTCTAACGCGTTCCCTGTATTCCTAAAGGGTTTAGAGCCACTTGCTAAGCCGCGCTACAACAAAAACACACAAAAATCCCAAAATCCAAAAACCCAAAAACCCAAAAACCCAAAAATCCAAAAACCCAAAAACCAAAAACCCAAAAACACAAAAAACATAACGAAAACGAACAATCCACAAACCCAAGCTTCCCTGGGAGAAGCTCCAAAAAAGTTTGGACTTTTGGACTTCTGGACTTTGGGATTTTTGACTTTTGGATTTTGGGGTTTTGTGCTTTTCCATGCGTGGGAGAAGCTCGACAAGCACACCGTGGGCAACAAAAACAAGGGCAAAAACAGACACGAATAAGTGCAAAAGTGTCCAAACCACTCAAGAATGCAAAAGAGTCCAAAAAAAGTGCACCAAGTCAAAGAAAAACACAAAGAAGCTCACACAACAAAAACATAGACAAGTTCAAAACATGCGAAGAAGCACAAGTAAGTGCAAGCAAGGCCAGAAGACAAAAAAAACACTACACAACTTTTGACAAGATGAATTCGGGACTCTCTCTCTCTCTCTCTCTCGATACCCGAGTCCCCCAAACTTTCGTTGACCTCGTCGGGGTTCCAGGTTCGGCACGACCCGCTGGCAAAGAAGCGGTGCAGCAGCACTTCCACACCCCACCTCTCGGCAGGTTGGGGGGGTCTGTGGTTTAGGGGTCTGTGCTCCTAAACCCGAAACCCTAAACCCTAAACCCTCAACCCTCAACCCTCAACCCTAAACCCTAAACGATTTGGGTTAAAGGTCTAAAGTTAAGAGTACAGGGTGCCCTTCCTGTGATGGGCCTGATGGTGTTCTTCTGATCACTGCCACGAAGCCCTCACAGGCAACTGCAAGTCCCTGTCCCAGCCCTATGGCACTTTGGCATAATTCCTTAAGCCCTAAGCCCTAAGCCCTAAACTCTAATTCCTAAACCCTAAACCCTAAACCCTAAACCCCAAACCCTAAACCCTAAACCCTAAACCCCAAACCCCAAACCCCAAACCCTAAACCCAAACTGGGAGCCCTGCTGTCCAGCAGAGCAGAACACTGAGCCCAGCGAGAACCGCCTCGGCCCCCAGGAGAAGCAAGAGTTCTATGTGAAGTAGGGCGTATATTCCTTGTATCCCCAAAAGGACACAAGAAATATATACCCTCACCAATATGAACAAGGAACCTTATATATGCTCAAAGCCTCAAAGCACCTGTGAATGTCAAGCTTGAGCTCTTAGCCCTGTGCCCTGAAACCCTTTTCGTGTTGATTTTTGGGGGAAGTGAAGGGAGGGCTTCATCCTCCCTGTGATTAGCATTCCATTGTTTGTTGTTACTCTTGTTAACCCGATGATGTTTGTTCTTCCTGTTTTGCGTGTTTTTTCCATTCTTGTTGTTGTTATTCTTATCATTCTTCTTTCTCATGTTTTACCAAAAAATACTCTTACTAATCTTAACCTTACTACTCTTGATATCCTTGTGATTACTGGGGTCAAGGGGTGGCGGCATCAAACTCATGTTTGACGCGAAGCTGAGGCTTCTTCTGAACTTGCCTCGGCCGGCGGCCGGCGTCTGGAGAAGAAGACCACGGTTTAGGGGTTAAGGGTTTAGGATTTAGGATTTAGGGTTTTGGGTTTAGGGTTTAGGGTTTAGGGTAGAGTTTTAGATTTAGGGTTTAGGTCACCCGGCCCAACCCACGGTGGCTTTCCGTAAAACTCCCAGGAGTTGCGGGCCGTTCCTGGCGCCCCGGAATACGCATAATACATTGCAAACCCAACAAAAAGGGCTTAGGGTTTGGGGGCTTCAGGTTGGCCATAGTACATGCGCTGCGTTCTTTCGAGGCGCTTCGTCTCGTAGACGTAGACACGGAAGCTGGCACCTCCAGGGCATCAATCTAGGGTTGGAACAATAAAACAAAGGGCCTCTCATACGGGTCCTTGATCGTGGCTCCTTATCTTTATGGTTCTATATGGCCTTGCACGGTATAGGCTTTAAGGAGATAGGGGTGAAGCAGCTTGAAGGTTCAAAGCCTGAACCCTGCAGAACCCTGAATGCTTTTCAGAGCTTTGGGGCTTTTCGTGCTTGATTGAAATTATTCAGGGTTCAGGTCCGGGGAAAGTTTCGAGGAAAGTTTGCAGGACAGTTTCGATTTTTGGATGTTTGAATAATTTCGAGTTACAGGGGCTGGGGGGTGTAGGGTTTAGGGTTTCAGGTCTAGGGTTTAGGTAGGGCTTAGGGTGTAGGGTTTGGGGGCTCGCAGAACAAAACCCTGAACCTTACAAGAGCTTAGGGGCCCACAATTCAGTGGTGCTGGGGGGGCCAGAGCCTGCACAATCATTCGCCTGGAGGCCGAGAAAGAGCGGAAACCTCTGGCAAGCCCCAGTTATAGGGTTTAGGGCTTGGGATTTAGGGTTTTGGGTTTAGGGTTTGGGGTTCGGGGTTTAGGGTTTAGGGTTTAGGGTTTAGGGTTTAGGGTTTAGGGTTTAGGGTTTAGGGTTTAGGGTTTAGGGTTTAGGGCTTGGGGTTTAGGGTTTAGGGCGTGTTCAACGGAAGCGTGCTTTGTGAGCGCACATTCGTCTGCCGACTTGATCATAGTTTCGAAACCCCCCCCGCTTCAGAAAAGTTTGTTTCTACTAGCTGGCTAATAGGCAGCTAATAGGCAGCTAATAGCAGCTAATAGCAGCTAATAGCCACACAACCTTTCCGCGCCATTAGCTAGCAGCTAGTATTAGCATTTCGAACGTGTCTGCAAAAACGGCTGACTGCTATTAGCTAGCTATTAGCGAACACAGTCCTGGATACACGACCGTCCCCAAGCCAACAAGCTGCTAATCGCAGATTGTTAGCTGGCGAATAGTCTGCAATTCGCAGGCCCAGCCGACGCTGTGCGCTTTAAGTTTTGTGCTACTAGCAAAAGGCCCTTCGTGTGCTGTAAGGTTGGGGTCTGGGGTGGGGGGGGGTTGCTAGGGGGGAGGTGTTTTCGAAACTATGAACCTGCCCACCCCAAGGCCGTCCACTTACAACTCTCATGTAGTTAAGGCCTTGTTTGTTTTTACCAAAGCAACATGTAACCTTGATATGAAACTCTTCACTGCAGCCACCTATTAGTTGTGTCACATGGGTCGCCCGGAGCACTTGGGACACTTGGGTTGCTTGGGGTCATGAGATAATTGGGAAAACTGGGAACACTGGGGTTACCTGCGACACTTAGGTCGCTTGGGTCGTTTAGGATGCAGGTGCCTGGGTCACTGGGGACACTTCACTAGGTCTCTGGAACACTTGGGTCACTACCAGTGGCGTGTTACGGCGCACTTGGGTCACTTAGACCACTTTGTGACACTCCAGACACACTTGGGACCTTGGCGTCACTTGGGCCACTTGAACACTTGGGTCACTTTGAACGCTGGGGGGCACTTGGAGCACCCTTTGGGCCGCTTGGGACTCGGGATACTTGGAGCACTTGCGGGCACGGGCACTGAAAACACCTCTTTCAATTGGTCACTTGGGACATGTCATTTGGATCACTTGAGACCACTTGGGTCACTTTGTGAGACGTAAGACCCTTGTTCACATGGGGCACTTGGCACGCAGAACTTGGAATGCCTTCAGGTCTCTCAAACTCGAACACTCGTAGGTCCCCATTCACTCGATCACTTGGGGGGGGGCGCTTGTGTCGCCTGGGCCGCTTGGGCCAAGGGCCAAGCTGCTGGGAACATGCCTTGCTCACATGATGCCTCACAGAACTGCTTGAAACATATCTTGTTGCGACTTCGACTTCACTTGCATGCCAACATGTGGCTGGCGCCTGGTCGTATACCTGCTACCACCACAACAGGCGTGGCGCAGGAAAGTTTCCAAGCTTTGCGCTCTCCGAACGCGTCTTGCGGCACAGACACATGCAGAGTGATAGTGCCGATTGGAAAGCGCCGACGCTTGTCCAGTATGCTTGAGCCAGTCTCTCTCGTATTCACAGGACTGCTTGAAACGTATCTTGTTGCAACCCAGCAGGATTTTACGTCTGGTTTTGGTTTCGACTTCGACTTCACTTGCATGCCAACAGGCGGCTATCGCCTGGTCGTATACCTGCTACCACCACAACAGGTGGCGCAGGAAAGTTTCCAAGCTTTGCGCTCTCCGAACGCGTCTTGCGGCACAGTCACATGCAGAGTGATAGTGCCGATTGGAAAGCGCCGGCACTTGCCCAGTATGTTTCGGCCCATCTGTCTCAAATTCACAGAACTGCTTGAAACATATCTTGTTGCAACCCAGCAGGATTTTACGTCTGGTTTTGGTTTCGACTTTGACTTCACTTGCATGCCAGCATGTGGCTGCTGCCTGGTCGTATACCTGCTACCACCACAACAGGCGTGGCGCAGGAAAGTTTCCACGCTCTGTGCTCTCCGAACGCGTCTTGCGGCACAGTCACATGCAGAGTGATAGTGCCGATTGGAAAGCGCCGACACTTGTCCAGTATGCTTGAGCCAGTATCTCTCGAATTCACAGAACTGCTTGAAACGTATCTTGTTGCAACCCAGCAGGTTTTATGTCTGATTTTGGTTTCGACTTCGACTTCACTTGCATGCCAACAGGCGGCTATCGCCTGGTCGTATACCTGCTACCACCACAACAGGCGTGGCGCAGGAAAGTTTCCAAGCTTTGCGCTCTCCGAACGCGTCTTGCGGCACAGACACATGCAGAGGGATAGTGCCGATTGGAAAGCGCCGTCTGTCTCAAATTCACAGAACTGCTTGAAGCGTATCTTGTTGCAGCCCAGCAGTTTCGACTTCGACTTCACTTGCATGCCAACATGTGGCTGGCGCCTGGTCGTATACCTGCTACCACCACAACAGGCGTGGCGCAGGAAAGTTTCCAAGCTTTGCTTTCTCCGAACGCGTCTTGCGGCACAGTCACATGCAGAGTGATAGTGCCGATTGGAAAGCGCCGACGCCTGTCCAGTATGCTTGAGTCAGTCTCTCTCGTATTCCCAGGACTGCTTGAAACGTATCTTGTTGCAACCCAGCAGGATTTTACGTCTGGTTTTGTTTTCGACTTCGACTTCGACTTCACTTGCATGCCAACATGTGGCGGGCGCCTGGTCGTATACCTGTAACCACCACAACAGGCGTGGCGCAGGAAAGTTTCCAAGCTTTGCGCTCTCCGAAATGCAGAGTGATAGTGCCGATTGGAAAGCGTCGCAAGTTGGTTGCAAGGCTCTGGCCGCTCCATGTGATGACTTGAGGGCTGCACCCCTGTCCACCTTCGAACCAACAACCTCAGGGAGCCCCCGTACCCTGAATTAACGACTATCTTGAACTTTGTATATATTTGTTCATATGTGCTTATGGTTCACTTATGTATATGTAAAAAAAACGCATGTAGTTAAACTGACCCTAAAAGCCTTAAAACATCATCAATCCCCAAAAGCCTCCAACACCCCCAGGATTTCCCAAACCCTGAACCCTAAACCCTAAACCCTAAACCCTAAAAAATAAGCCCCCCTCGAAAACCTCCTGCAGCCAAAAATTGAAAGACTTTCTTGGGTGCCGGCTGTCGCTCCAGGGGCTCCCTAGGAATGGTCCAGTTCGCAGCTGGCAGGCAAGGAAGGGCGGGGTTTTAGTGGTTTGGGGGTTTAGGGCTTAGGGTTTAGGGTTTAGGGTTTAGGGTTCAGGGTTTGGGGTTCAGGCTTTAGGGCTTCGGGTTTAAGGCTTAGGGTTTAGGGATTAGGATTTGGGAGGACCTTTGCTGTCCTTGAGCTAAGGATTTTGCACCGTAAGCCTAGGATTTTGGTCCTTCCCTAAAACCTTTAAACGCCAAACGCTAAACCCTAAACCCTAAACCCTAAACCCCAAACCCTAAACCCTAAACCCCAATCCTTCATGAGGCCTGGCCAAGGGCCAGGATGCAAGGCCTGTAGGGTCGTGTGTCATAGGAGGATGTAGATTGATACGGGTGACACTCACACCACTGCCCCCAAAACCCGAAACCCTAAGCCCTGTGTACTATTGAGCTACTTGAAAAAAATTGGGGTTTAGGGTTTAGGGTTTCGGGTTTAGGGTTTGGGGTTTGGGGTTTAGGGTTTAGGGTTTTGGGCTTGGGGTTTGCTAAGAGGAAACCCACATTCAAGCCCATGACAGGACACTAGAGGCGTGGGGCTTTAGGGGTTTAGGGATCTAGGGGTTGAGGGGTTGGATGGTTTGGGGTTTTATTGTAGCGCTTAGGGTGTAGGGGTTTAGGGTTCAATGCCACGTCACCCGACAATCTGCTTGTGTACATGTCTGCATCTGCTTATGGTACTTCTGGTCCTAAACCGTAAACCCTTGATCCCGAAGCCCCCGACCATGCAATACACCGAGCATTCACCTGGTTAGCACAGAAGGTTTGGAATAATTCAAGGCTTGGGCTATACAACTGACTGCCCTTCAAGCTTTGGAGGACATCCTAGGTAACGCGCGTGCAAACCTGCAAGCCGGATGCAAAATCCCTGAATTTCACCACCCCTCTCCATTCTCCTTAGGGTTTAGGGTTTAGGGTTTAGGTTTAGGGTTCAGGGTTTGGGGTTTAGGGTTTCGGGTTTAGGGTTTACAAGGTTTTAGGGTTTACAAGGGTTTAGGGTTTAGGGTTTGGGTTTAGGGTTGAGGGTTCAGGGCTTAGGGTTCTAAATTCTATAAATCTTCAACCGGGGCCTTCCGACTCGTTGTTCCTCTGAAGCATGTCGATGGCACTGCCGAAGACCTGTCATGCCATCTGCTTCCTCCCTCAAGAAAGTAGCTAAAGAAATGATATCTACAGAGGTAGGCAGAGAAAGGTTCACGTTTGCAAAATACTGGAAGCTCGTGCCAGCGAACAAGGTGAGGATCCTAAGCCACAAGTTGCCAATGGATCTACTGGTATGTCAAGTCAAGCGGCCTGTGTTTGTTGATGTGAAATGAGGAAACAAGCAACAATAAACGGTGTTTTGAACACTCTCATATTGTTACACTTGTGTTTTCATAAACATGACATTGATGCAACACTAGGCAGAATAGAGTACCACAAAACCATGCACAGGTCAAATAACCGGTGAAGCATTCCATAAATGCTGGAGACGATGCTGAATGTGGATCATAAGGATAAACTGTATGGTGTTCTTCAAGGTTGCGTAGTAGAGATAAGGTTCTGTTGGTTTAGGCTCATAATAATTTTAGTAGGATTCCTATTTTTTAAGGGTCCACACTCTTTTTTTATAGGAGTCCCATTGGTTCCTATTAATTTTAGTAGGGGCCCTCTTCAGTTCATTAGGATTCCTATCAAGTATATTTGGGTTCTCATGAACTTTAATCGGGTTCGTATTCATGTTAATAGGCTTCCTATTAACTTTATACAGTTCCGCTTTTAATGTAATAGGGTTCCTATGGATTTAAATAGAGGATTCCCATTTTCTGTTTATAAGATTCCAAGAATTTTCATAGTTTGCCTATATGTTAATAAGGCTCCTACAAATGTAATATGATTCCTATTCATTTTAAATAGGATTCTGTCATTTGAATAGGGTTCCCATAGAATTTTTAATAGAATTAAGGGTTCTCATTCATGCTACAGGGTTTCCTTTTCATTTTAATAAGGTTCCTACTGAAACAAAATGAATCCTATGAACCCCATTACATTTGATAGGAACGCTATTCACATGCATAGGATTTCCACTTAAATTCACAGCATGCAATCCACAAGCTCGAGAAAATTGTTCAGGTCACTTCTGCTGGAGTTTTTATGGGAGTCCCTCCCCGCTTTAAAACCACCGCGCATGGCGGAACGTAGTATTTGTATCTGGAAACCATGCTGAAGCGTGGGCGCATGGGGGGGGGGGGGGGGTTAGCATCTTATATATATATATATATATGTACTGTTTTGTTCTCTTCATGCATTCTTTTGCAACTTACCTGTGGTTCTTTATATGTCTCTTCAACCTGTTATTTGTTCATGCTTATTCATGGTATATCGGTATTTATACCATCTATATGCATACGTACGAGTAGTTGTTTGCGTTTGCATGTGTTTCTACTTTTATACGCATTTAGATCTGTTTGATTATGCACATTTGTTTACTTTACCGACTATTGGTGCATACTAACGTATGCTCATTTGCATGTACGTATGCTCATGTAGATGTGTTCATACCTACTTTGCGCTCCGCACATATCGTTGGCTTGTTTATCGATACTTCCCCAGACAGAAAACGTCATGCGCACGGACACCTCTTGCCACACCCCGATCTCCTGAAGTTCTTGAAAGGGGCCTCTTTTTTTGCACATATTAATACATCAACATATACCAGGAACCTATCAAAATATGTATCTGACTATAATACAAGGGTTTTTATTGAAGGTTGTGAGAGAAAAAGAACGAGCTCCTGCGCCGGGGCTGCCTCCTGGGCCACTTCCAGGCCATGCTCGAACTCGATGGCAGGCCTTCAGCTGAAGCTGCCCGAGTTTCGGGCTTCGGGAAGGTTCATTCACTGGTTGGTTAGGGTTTAGGGTTTGGGGTTTAGGGTTTAGGGTTTAGGGTTTGGGGTTTAGGGTTTAGGGTTTAGGGATAAGGGCCTAGGGGTTTCCCTCAACCCTAAGCGCCCTCAACTCTAGGTCGCAGGAAGTGAACCACAACTGACCCCTTCTGGATCAAAAAGTTTCTGGCCCATGGGGGCTGGCAACCACAGGCCCCCACAGCGCATTGAGCAGCATGGCGATCAGGCCGAAGTAGCAGTCGGCCGCAAAAACCTCCGCCGCCAAAGAAAAATTGAGCTCTTCAAACCCTAAACCCCAATCCCTAACCCTAAAGCCGAAACCCTAAACCCGAAACACCAAACCCTAAACCCTAAACCTTAAACCCTAAACCCGAAGATGGGGGGGCTAAACAAAGTACGAAGTCAAATAGGATCCCCTGCCTACGACCCCTAAGAAAACCACCGCCCGAAAGCAAACTAGGGTACCCGCTCTTTCGAAGGCTTTGTTTGAAGGTGTGGAAAACATCAACCGCAAGAGCTCCAGGGAAGGGTCACAAAGAGACATGCACAGCCCACTTCTGAGGAGGACCTGGATAACCAAAACCACAGCTCGCCCCTCCGAACGCGAAACGTCACGAGTTCTGAAGGAGATGCGGCTCGCGAGCAGTGGAGGCAACAAAAAGAAGACGAACACCGGCCCCAGAAAACTAAGCCTACAGCTTGGGATGCTCCCCCCTTATCCTAACAGCTCCTTCCTAGGGATGAAGGCACCCCCTAAAAACATCCCGTTTAGGGAGCTGCTAGTACAAGTCGGAACATCCCAAGCCCGCAGCATCGCAGGACACCGGCACCGAGAACTGAGCACCCTAAACCCTAAACCCTAAACCTTAAACCCTAAACCCTAAAGGTGGCCTGCACGGAGGCCGCGTGTTGCATCCGATCCCAGAGGTTGTAGAAGGTGTAGTGCCGCTCGAGCCTCAGCAGCTTCTTGCAGAGGGGTTTGGGGGGGTCACCCCCAACTCCGAAAAACACGAACACCCGAACCCATAAACCCCAAAACCACCAAAGCCCTCAAACCCCCCCCCCAAAAAAAAAATAATATTAAAACTAAACCCTAAACTCCAAAAAACACCCTCTAAACCCTCCACCCCCACCCTGAACCCTAAAGCAAGCCCAAACCACCAAAACCCTCCCCCTCTCCCACCTGGGAAGCACTTCCCTGAGAGCCGGGCATTCGAGGAGTGGAGTCCAACAGCCTAAGTGAGCCGCCAGCTTGGGGGTTTAGGGTTTAGGGTTGAGGGTTGAGGGTTGAGGGTTGAGGGTTGAGGGTTGAGGGTTGAGGGTTGAGGCTTTAGGGTTTAGGTTTAGAGTTTAGGGTTTGGGGTTTGGGGTTGGGGTGTAGGATTTTGGGTTTAGGGTTTAGGGCTTATATAGGGTTTAGGGTTTGGGGTTTAGGGTTTGGGGCTTGGGGCTTGGGGTTCAGGCTTCAAGATTTAGTTTTTTGGGTTTAGGGTTTGAGGCTTAGGGTTTAGTGTTTGGGTTTGGGGTTTAGGGTTTGGGCGGCTTCAAGGGGCATTATGAAGTTTAGGGGGCCTTTTGGGGGGGTGTTGGGCCGGTGTCGGGGCTTCAGGGCTGTTCGTGTAGAAGCGTCGCAGATTCCTCGAAGATCCGAGCCCTACCCCCCCCCCCATTCCTTCCCTGACGTAAGCCGTAAACACCTTTGTCGGGGCCACAGCTCTCGCACGTGATAGTTCGGCGCGAAAGCCTTGCCAAACAGGGGCACTGGGATAGTGCGGAGAAACATGGACATCAAACCCTTTGCATTTTTAATGTTGTCGGATTGTTTTAGCACCGTCCATTGGAACCACAAGGGTTTTGTGCTTGAAGGGGGGGGGGGGGGGGTGGGCGGGGGTGGGTGGGTGGCACCCCCTTCAACAGTGCAAACCCAAATGAACAGCGCAAGCCCAAATTCAAAACTATCACTGCAAGCCCAAAACGAACAGTGAAACCTTCTGTGCCGTCTTCTATCCGATCGAAAGACGAACATGGCAATGTCAATGCCTGCTGCAGGATTTTTTCATACATGTGCAGGCACAAGGCGCACAAGCGCCTCGAAAAGGCAGCCAACAAACTCAAGTGAAAAGAGTGGCTTTGTGAGTCGTGCTCATACTCATGTCATCTGGGCCACGCCTGCCAGTTTCTGCAAAATCCCTAAACCCTCTAAAATCACGCGTATTCCTTGACCTCCTCTTCACTCATACCCTGGACGAATGTGCAAACAAACCCTGGGTTGTTGCAAATAACAACACCTTTCTGACGACAGTGCCCTCTGCAAAACCCTTGCGGTCCCAATGGACGGCGGTACCTGGTTAAGCCTAAAAGGCTTCCATGCAAACTCGAAAGTTTCCATGCACCCAGACCAAGGAGATTTGCTTCAAGAATGATGCAGCACAACGCCTCAGAACTAGGCTGAGGCATCCGCGGCATGTGCTAAGAACCCCCAACAAAACACAGCTCGGTAAGGATCCTAAACCCAAAGCCCTAGAACGTGGGGGGAGGGGGGGGGGGCGGGGGCAAAAACTCTCGACTCTCTTGTGTGGACAAAGATTTCACACGCTGGGGATTGGGGTGCTCGGCCTGACCTACCAGGGCACGGGTGCGAAAGCGCTGACCATTTGATGCAACTGCAAATAGAGCTGTTATGACCATGATGATGATTGTTCCTGTTCCAAAAACCATTGTTAAGGCCAGTAGTTATGACTTTCCTAATGATACTCATATTGCTTTATTGTTCGATGATTATTGATAATGACCATTCTTAATATTCCCATTGTTATGACAACAAACTACCATGATTAAGATTCTCATTTTTTTTGCTGTTTACTACCATTGCTAACACTACGATCCCTACTACTTATACTCCCATTTAATGCGACTGACTATTCCGATGATTCTTGCAAAATACCCAGACACCTGGGAGGATCCAAAAAATAGAACCCCCCAATAGTACCCTGTACTACTACGGGCTATTCTTAAGAACCCTTCAGGGCGATCTATTTCTTGGATCCTCCCAGGGGTCTGGGTATAAGTGGGGTGTTGGCTCAGGGAGGGGAGGAGCCTTCACGTGCTGCCAGAGCTCCCCCGTCACCCTGAGAAGGTGGCGAGCCCGGGAATTGCCCAAAGAAAGGACTTGTCGGGTTTTAGGGGTTTGGTTTAAGGTTTAGGGTTTCGGGCGAGGGTTTAGGGTGTTGGGGCTTTTGGGGGGTTATGGGGTTGAGGGCTTGATAGGGCTTACAAGCTGTAGTTGCAGGTTCGAGGGCTTCGGTGTTGAGAGCGGAAGGCAAGTCGGATTTCTCTCCAGGGCGATAGGATTTATGCCTGAGAGTTTTTTCTCTGGACTCCGGGATCAGGGCGGGCAGGGCATCTCTCCTAAACCCGAAGCCCTCAACCCCTAAAAACTGCAATCAACCCTAAACCCAAAACCCGAAGTCCTCAACCCTAAACCCCCTAAACCCTAAACCCTAAACCCCTGAGGGGCCCCCTGCGCGTTGGCACCTGAGCCCCCAGGCGTGACCGGAGAGCCATTGCAGCAGCTAAAGGTGGCACGACCTCTCAGGATGCAAATTTGAGGGGGTTTAGGGTTTAGGGTTTAGGGTTTGGGGTTTAGGGTTTAGGGTTTGGGGTTTAGGGTTTAGGGTTTGGGGTTTAGGGTTTAGGGTTTAGGGTTTAGGGTTTGGGGTTTGGGGGTTTAGGGTCTGGGGGTGTAGGGTCTGGAGGTTCAGTGATTCAGGGTTTAGGGCATAACTTCGTAGAGAAGCTTTCGGATAGATCCTTCACTTCGCCTACAAGACTGACTCCAAGATCTCTTGGGTAGTAACCAAGTAAGCATCCTCAACCCTTCACCCTGAACCTAAAAGCTACACCCTGAACACGAAATCTACGGCCTGTCGGGATATGGGAAGTGCTACACATGCTGCACAACTGCGATGGTCCTGGTTCAGGGCCCGGTCGGCAGGGCGCAGGAAGGAAGGGTTTAGGGTTTAGACTTTAGGATTTAGGGCTTAGGGCTTATATAGGGCTCAGGGCTGAGGGTTTAGGGCTTCGGGGTTGAAGGCTTCGGCTCCTGGTTCCGCATCTCCAACGACCTGGGTCCCGTGCAGGTTTCGTTTCCGGCATCGAAGATCTCCGCAATCCTGAGCAGCAAGTCATCTTCAGGCCCCCACACCCTCAGAACCCTAGTTGGGCTTGGGCTTCAGGGTTCAGAAAGTTCAACAAAAAAAAAGCCTACGAACCCCCTTTCTTCTCTCCAAGACGACTGAGGCTTGCTCTGCGCAGCGACCCATGCCTGGCGCTGCGAGGTTGCTTGGTGGCTTCGGTTGACATCGTGATGAGATAGAAGTATCTTGGGGCGCCTTTTATACCTGTTTCCTGGAGACCAACCCGAAACCTGAGGCCACCGAGTCTGAGCCGGGTGTAAACCTTAAACCCTAAACCCTCAACCCTAAATCCCTGAACCCTAAACCCTAAACCCTAAACCCTAAACCCACCTGAAGCCCTCAGCCCTAGGCCCCAAGCCCGAGTTGGAAGCCCTAGCCTGGCGGGATTCCTCGAGAATCTCCGCAGCGCCCGTGCGAAAGATCTGGCGCTAGGGCTTAGGGTTTGGGGTTTAGGGTTTAGGGTTTAGGGTTTGGGGTTTGGGGCTTGGGGCTTGGGGCTTGGGGCTTGGGGCCTGGGGTTTGGATCGAAATCCTGCTGTTGGGCTGGAGTGGGTTTAGGGTTCAGGGGGGTCTGAGTTCAGGACTTCCCAACATAAGGTACACTTCATGTACCACCAGAGTATGATAGCGCTTGCTATAGGAAAACCCCCTAGAAAGGGTACACCCATGGTAGAAAGGGTACAGCCGGCTTTCGTGACTGGGAGGCTGTCTCGATTCTTGCTGGACTGCTAACTCATTTTTCCCCACTTGCCGCACTAGGCCCACTTGACCCACTCTGGACCGCGAACTGTTTTTTGCCTCTCACCCCCTCGCATGATACACAGATACACACCCCCCCCGCCCCACCCCCCGCCTCTAATTGATGGAAAGCTCCCTCAATCTAGACTTCTGTTGTGTGGAGGTGGGACCATGAGGCAAATGGGAAGAGTCACAACAGTAAATGAAGCAAATTAGCCGCCACCAAGGCATGTGAGATAAAAGCAATCAGATGTTGCGCACAACTACATGCGCCAAGTGGAGCAATGTCAACTATGTAGTGGTTCCTGTCTGCGACCGCAATGAATGAAAGGGCTGTCGGGCACGTATGCTCAAAAACTCGCAGTTTGTTCCAAGGGCGCAGCCGCGATCAAAAGGACCTGAGCTAAATAGCCCCTTGCACTCAGTAGCATGGTCCAAAGCTGCACATGCACTCAAGCGGTATCCTGACACCTTCAATTGCTACTCGAGTTTGTGTTCTGAACTTCTGAATGTTTAAACAGATTGTGTTCCAAAAAAAGGCAACTGTGCCCATCTAAATACAGGCTCACTAAAAAAAAAAACTGCACATCGCTCTACCTCATGCTGCAAGCATGACCCTGCAGCGAGAACGTAGGAACATGCCCTGTAGCTAAACCCATCTATGCAAAGCACCGGACTTCTTGCGACATCCTGTGGTTCAGCTCTTTACGTCAAGAAACTCCACGCAAGGCTAGAGCCGGCTGTCGGCCTTTTGGGGGTTTAGGATGTCGGGTGTAAAGGGAATCTTCCGTGTTAAGGTTTCGGGGTAGGGATGAGGCTGACCGTTTCCTGGTACGGAATGTAACCCTACCCCTCTCACCCTAGAGTAAACGTCGAAACCTTTGAGGCGCCGACAGCGACCGTCAGCCCTTGCATGGTGACATGGTGGCTTCCAGGCACGGTGAGGAACGCGCTATTACAGTTTAGGGTTTAGGGTTTAGGGGTTAGGGTTTAGGGTTTAGGGTTTAGGGTTTAGGGTTTGACGGTCTACGGTTGAGGGTTTAGGGATTAGGGTTTCGGGTTACGGTTTAGCGTCGGGAATTTAAGGTTTAGGGTGCGGGTCTAGTTGAGGCATTGTGAAGGCGACATGATGCCAACGTAAGCGTTCTCTGGATGTAGGGAAGTTTGGGTCTTGTAAGGATTTGGGGGCTTAGGGTTTGGGGTTTGGGGTTTAGGGTATAGGGTTTAGGGTTTAGGGTTTGGGGTTTGGGGTTTAGGTTTGGGGGAACATGGCACTTCTAGCTGTTCCATGGGCCACACCAGCCAATCAAGTCTAAGCTCATCGCCCTTGAACCATCACATAAGTAGCCAAACGCCATCAGCAAGTTTAACACATACGGTCAAAGCTGTTTTTGCCACAGCCTCTCGGATGAGCTCGGGCAGGGCCGCCCACATTTGAGAAGAAAAGCAGCTTCAAGCAAGTCGTATGACATCGGCTCCCGTGTGATAATATGCAAACCCTAAACCCTAAACCCCAAACCCTAAACCCTCAAGACCTGGATAATTAGAAAGTGTATGTGGTATCATCGTGAATATCCCACGTTATTTGCCTGTCTAAATGAATTCACAGCGCCTTCGGACTTCAACCTCTGGGTTCCAAGCTATTTGTCTAAACAGCTGACAAGCAGAGCTTAAGTAAATTCATTTAAGGCGGTTGTATCATTCTGAATATCCCAATCCAAAGCCCCAGAAAACCTAACGAAGGAAGACATGACATCCAAGACCCAGAGGGAACAAGAGTGAGAGAGGGGGTCCGTCCAGATGACATGGAAATCCTATTCGAAGAGAGCCCCAAGACAGTAGACTCATGGGCAAATAGGGTCTCAGGGTACGGTTTCTAAGTCAAGATAACTTGCCTTTGTTTACACCTTAGCACGTTTATTACACTCACTTCGTTCTCGCCTTATTAATAGTATTCAGGCTTTCATTGTAATACTATTAATCATGCGTTCTCTTCGTACTTCCATTATTATTATTCTCTTCGTTTACCCCGCGCGTCTTTTATATTACTATTATTACGCGGGGTACATTATAATACTATTAATAGGTCTTGGGGAAGTTCCAAAAGCTGCCTCAAAGTTGGGCCGTTCTTGCATTCACACGCCAATAATACTATGAAGAGAACAATAGTAATATTATTATTCAGGCGCGTTCATTGCACTCACTTCATACCTTGTGTCACGAACGCCCGGGTCTTTGGAAGCGTCCCCCAACTTTCGGTCTTCGTTTCGTTCACTACTTTAATGCATTTCATGCGTCTTTATATTCCTTATAAATGCATTAAAGAAGCTCTCTTCACTTCACTCTTTGTTAATGAATCCCGCGGGCACGATATAAAAGACTAATAAATTAAGCCCGCGAACACACGGTTAAGCATATTCTCATCACTCAGAACTTCCATCATATCCTGAGACCCGATTTTCAACCTCTTTCGGTTAGGGTTTAGGGTTTAGGGCTTAGGATTTTTGATGAGCTTCGGACTGTATTTTCGTGGTTGGGGTCTAGGTTGAATGTAACCCCTCCCCACAACGTGCCCTCAAGAAAGCTCTTAGGCTCTCCATCGGGGGTTGAATAATACACTGCCAAAGATTCTGTTGTCAGTTTTTTACATTTGCAGTTTGTTGGATGAGCGGTGCTCACACTTGCTGGGCAGGAATTAACAATTGCAGGGTTTGGGTTCAAAGCTTAGGCATACCAGAGGGCCTGGCTGACTGCAATAAGATGATGAGCAACGCTAGGCAGGGCGCCATGCCATGAGCACGGAAAGCGCGTGGTTAACCCTCTCTCCCTCCTAAACCTCCCAACATGCCAAGGTGCACGCAGCAAGATCTTTTAATCCTTGATAAATGGCATTGTCACTTGCTCCTTGCGCTGTGAGCCGTCAGCTGCAATCAGGGATCAATGAACATCAGACATCTAACGTGCAGGACAAAAGGTACATTCATGACAATTCGCAAACATGATTGACCCACAAGGTAAGATAAGGCCACCCCATCCGAAAACCATGATTCTGAACGGGTTGGCCCCGGCACAAACGTTCTTGAGGATCCATGCTGGGTAAATGAATTAGCGATTGAGTGGTTTGAGTCTATGGTTGTTTTTAACTCGTTCGCGCACTTGATGAATAGCTCGTTTGGGTTGGCGTTGATAAACAGCTAACCAACGACCCATGTCCGAGGGACTACCAGCTTCCAGAATTCAGCCTGTCGGCAGGTAAGGCACCTGGAAGGACAAGAGCGGTCCGTGATTCTGAGCAGCTGCCGAGGATAACCACTTTCTCGCGAAAAATCTTGTCACGATGTCTACTCAGTTGAGCACCCGAAAGCTTGCAAAGTTCGTGCTGCTTGCAATGATTGCCCGACCATCCTGCAGTGTGATAGCCTTGCCAATCCAGAGAGCCCCTCTACGTATTCTACGTTTACACATCTACTGACGCAGCCGCAGGGCGCAACTTGTAAGCTCTGCCAAAACCCATGCTGCAACCGGGCTTTCCTTGTGCGAACTTGTGCGCACTGCTCATCACAAACTCCACACGCAGCTAATCTTCGGCATGCCTGAACCATTAGCGTACGGCTTGGCTGAACCATTGACAAAACACGCACAGTCCGTGGCACCCACAACCTTGGTCGGAAGACACTGAAACTGGACCATGGGCAAGGAAAAACCCATGCCATGAGTCCCTTGCAACTGCGGGTCTGAACAGCTTGGCTGGGCCATCGCGGTCAAAGGGGCACCTGAGCTCCAGATCCTGGCCTGCTTGCAAGAGTGGCAGGTGTTGCGAGGTATTCGGGCAACGTGGCTGGGGGCGTGTGCGCAGCGGCGGGGACTGCGATGCCAGGAGGATATTCGGGCAACGTGGCTGGAGGTTTGAGCGCATGGGACAAATGAATCCCTGGCGGCAGGTCACCAGGCTTCCACGCTGTCTGTACCGGCCCCTGTGCTGCAGGGAATTGGATCTGTGACAGCGCAGCCGAAGACCCTCGCGGCTTCGGTGGCGGAGGGACTCCGGAACAACGACGTCCCGAACTGGACGTCGGTAAGGCAGCAGAGTGCTCCAGCAGGTTGCGGAGGGTGAGAAAAGCCAGGAATCCGCACATCCCGGCTGCAATGATGGTGACAAAAAGGATCATAATCACCTGGACGACGTCGCTCTGACCCCAATGGAGGTCGCGGGCGAGAAGAGCCACGACAGCAAAGATCATTGCCAAAGATACCGTCAGCAATGCAACCTCGGCCCGGTTCCACCTGAGCAGGGCACTGCAGCCACTGCCACAACAAACAAAAAGGTTTACGGTTCAGGGTTTAGGGTTTAGAGTTTAGGGTGCTGATGCCAAACAAGCTTGCTTAGAATAAACAAGCCCTCCGAATTGTCTCGTCACGAAGCGACTTGGCAAGTGTGGAGATACGGGACATGAAAGACGCAATGACGCCTCTTCAAAGAGTTGCACACACAGACACACACGCAAACTGCCAGCCTTTCATTCTTGTATGGTAGGCAGAGCATATACATGACGAGGGAGGTCAGCAGCAAGAGGCCCAGGGAGGACATCTGCAGAGATGGGGAAGCCGAGACCGGCAGCATGGCAGCAAGGAGGGTGAAGGCGGTCTTCCTCAGCAACCTCTCGGTCTCCCATTTGGCATAAGCCTCTTCCTTCTTGGCCTCTTCCACTGCCACCCCGCCATAGAGGCTCCACCAACCCCGCAAAATCACCGCGGCGGTGAGGACTGTGATGGCAACCACCAAAGCAAAGCCGCCGGGAAAGCTTGGCACATGCGGGCAATCCAACCCCTCCAGGCCCTCCGTCTGGCCCAGGCGGAAGCACACCAGCTGCCGACCGAAGTGGCCCAGGAAAGCCGGAAAAAAACAATTGATGCTGACCAGGGCTGCAACTCGGGGGCCTTTGGCTGCCGCCAGCAAGGCTGTCAACGTTGCGACCACTGCAGCAAAGGCCACCTGGCCTTTCCAAACACTTGGCTGCAGGCCGCTGTACTTTAGGATACACTGCACGGACTGCCCTCCCCCACCCACGGCCTGGCCGGAGCCGACATCCATGACCAGGCTTGCGGCCTGGAAAAGGAAGCGGGCGACTCCCTCTTGCAGTTCTTGAGCAGCAGGCGTCTGTAACATCGCCGACATGACCGTGCTGGCCACAGTGGAGAAGCTCAGCAGCTGATTCAGATAGATGCTGCTGGCTTTGGCAGTCCCGGTGCTTCCGAGCACGCTCTTGGCCGCGACGCCGAAGACCAGAGCGGATTTTCCCAGCCAGGCCAGCACCTGCAGCGCCCGGGCCACCGACGACTCGGCGCACTGCACGCAGACCAAGACGCTGGCGTCCGAGGGAGCATAGCGCTCTGCGCACTGGGCACAGCCCTCGCCTACATACCCGTCCTCACACATTGACAGGTTGTCGGAGGGCAACGTGCCTCCCCCACATGCTTCGGGATTGGGGCATGTGAACACCTTAGCACTCTCTACTGCATGGAAGCCTTCACGAACAGTCAGTCTGTCAGGAAGGCACTCAATGGACCTCTGGGGACACTCCTGGCATTCAGAAATAACCTCATGCTGAAGCTGGACACGACCTGGCTGGCACTGGGCACATCCTGCGATCTGAGACTCTGTGGTCGATGGTGGTTTGCCCCAGCCACGTCTGCACGGAATTGACCCGTACGCCGCCTCCGCATTCGGGGAGATTAGTTCAAAGATGCAGGATTCCACGCTGTCACAGTCCACATCCTTCAGCACCAGCCTCTCCATCGCAATGAAGTGGTATTGTTGTGCATCTGCGGTGAAGCATACCCCTTCAACTTCCAGCGGGCCTTTCGTCTTCACGATGGTGCCCGTCACACTCACGTGCTGTCCAAAAGACACATCCTTCCAGGATGCAGCCCATGCACGCAGAGAGAGAAAGGGTCAGCAAACTTGCAAGTGCCACGAACCCCGAGCAGATGTAACCCTCAACATTGACCATGAACTGGCGGTCTTTAGTGGGAAGGATGTGGGAAAATACACAGATTCAGCTGTGGCCTTGATCGTCAGCAGATGATCTGAGATAGAGTCTATTGCAGCTGGACCTAGGGTCGGCTTTGCAGTTCCGCTGAGGCTTTCGAACCGGATGTCGGCACCATCGAAGGATCCTGCAGCCACAACGCCAAGAAGCTAGGAACATTAGGAACTGCACATGCTCGCACAGACGCATCCGCAACCGCGCCTCCGCTGTTCAGGCTGCAAGCGCCACGATTGTTGCTGCTTGTATTTCTAATCAAGACATCCCCCATCAGATCTGCAGGACCTATGGACACGAAGGCGCCACCTGCGTCCTCCGCCCAGCAGTCAATGAACTTCAGCCGTCCGTAACTGCTGATACTCGGCATACTGTGGAGGTCACTTTGGCTTCCCTACCTTTTGGAGTTAATTTCTTGCCGTCTTTTTGTGTCTCCAAATCCACACACCTTTTACCACCCGCACACTTCCACACTTGAACAGCCAGCAGAACCCAGCTAAAGCCATTTGCACCCACATAATAACACACCACACTCCATGACACACACGACTCTCTGCCAGACACGCCGAAAACCACAACACACCACACCCATTCACAATAAAACAACGAGGTAAACACACAGACACCACTGCAAGGTCACTGTTTTTTTTGTTTGGTGTCACTTCTGAGACTCCATGCGTTACCACCCTTCCACACACTGCCACACACTGACACTTTCCTTGCACACTGAAGCCAAAGACATGCACCCGCAAACCAACCCACTTTGCAACCACAAATGCTGACACACACACACACACACATATCAGCCGAAACCAAAAAATGCACATTCTTATGGATATCTAAGTTCCGATTGCAATTTTTTTCACTGTCTTTCTGGTCAATCGACAGCTTACCGGGCTGACAGCACTCACCAAAACACTTGCTGAACGATCTGTTTGTGTTTTTGGTTCAGGGCGGTTTCTCGAAACTCTCTCTTTCCAAAGCTTGCAACTTAACCAAGGGCAAAGGCAATTTGAACTAAAAAAAACAAAAAAAGTGTTGCTGTGCATAAGTCTGCTGCTGAATTTGAAGAAAGTTTTCTAAGTTTCACGACTCTAGCTTCTTTTCCAGTGTTTTCTTGTTTCTCCAAAGTTCAAAAAGAAAGACCGATGTTTTTGCAGTTCTTGCTAACATTGAAAACAACAATCACACTGACCTCTTCTCATTCATGACCAGAACGACTTAAGAGTCGCCCAGCCTTAATTTCCATTCCATTCGATTTTTTTTAACAAAGCTTCGATTGCAAAATGGCCAAACAGAAATTCAAGGCACACTGAAATTAGACAGAAGATGAAGCAGAAGAAACTCTGCTTTCTTTCAGACTGGCTGCCCTCAATTCTTTGTCTTTCGTTTTTGGTTGCGTGTTGCAATTCTTCCCTGGATTCAGCACCATTCAACGAATTTTCAAAATTTCTGAAGTCTTCCAAAATGTTGAAAAAACCCTCAAAATCAACACTTGATCAGTTAAATTTGTTGAATTTACTCTGGTGTTTCGCTCGCTTCGCTCGCACTTATTCACATTCTGGTAATACACTTTGCAATTTTCAAGTGGCTTGGCTTGGGCGTCGCGCGCAACCTTAACGAATCAACACCACGGTTGAACTCGTCTCGTCCTGCAGTTGATGTCTGTCCAAACGGCACTGTCAGAGGCTTTTAAAAACACTTGTTTCAAAGCATTGAACTTTTCCAAGCTGCAGTTTCCACCGATGTTGACTCTGCACCCTTCTTTTCTCCTCTTCTGCCTTCAGGCCTTGCACCAAAACCTGGAGAATCTGAAACCCAAGATGAGGGGCAGCAAAATTGATCGAAAAGGTAGGGAAGCTCCAGTGACCTCCACAGTTAGAGAAAGTTCCGGTTCCAAACAAGTTCACACTTTGCCGCCTTGCTGCCTGCTGTTCTAATTTTGGGGGAAGACTGACACAAGACTTAGACTGGAACCGACTGAGAGGCTTATTTGTTTTACTTGCAACGAGGAGCTGTGAAAGCCAGATCTGGCTTCCCGTGTGTGAAAAAAACGCCGCAACTGGGCCCAAAAATGGCTCCTAAACTTGGGTTCCAATTTGAGGCTCCAACCTGGGTGGCCTTGTATGTTCACACAGGAAATCCAAAATCTAGGGCCCGTTTTCAGTGCCCAGAATTGAGCTGCTTTTGGAACCCCTTTGAGTTCAATAATAATTAAAATCAACTCACAGACAAACAAGATTTTTTCTATTCAATACTGTTTGCATCAACACTCAAGAAAACAAAAAACGCCGTTGATACGCGTGTTCTTGGCTTTGCTAAACTTGTCTTTAGCTGGCATTCACGACAAAGCACTCTTGCATTGTTCGCGTGCAATCTTTCTCGCACTGTGGAGGTCACTTTGGCTTCCCTACCTTTTGGAGTTAATTTCTTGCCGTCTTTTTGTGTCTCCAAATCCACACACCTTTTACCACCCGCACACTTCCACACTTGAACAGCCAGCAGAACCCAGCTAAAGCCATTTGCACCCACATAATAACACACCACACTCCATGACACACACGACTCTCTGCCAGACACGCCGAAAACCACAACACACCACACCCATTCACAATAAAACAACGAGGTAAACACACACAGACACCACTGCAAGGTCACTGTTTTTTTTGTTTGGTGTCACTTCTGAGACTCCATGCGTTACCACCCTTCCACACACTGCCACACACTGACACTTTCCTTGCACACTGAAGCCAAAGACATGCACCCGCAAACCAACCCACTTTGCAACCACAAATGCTGACACACACACACACACACACACACACATATCCACAACACTCTTGCACATGCACACTTCGAAAAACAGCCGAAACCAAAAAATGCACATTCTTATGGATATCTTAAGTTCCGATTGCAATTTTTTTCACTGTCTTCCTGGTCAATCGACAGCTTACCGGGCTGACAGCACTCACCAAAACACTTGCTGAACGATCTGTTTGTGTTTTTGGTTCAGGGCGGTTTCTCGAAACTCTCTCTTTCCAAAGCTTGCAACTTAACCAAGGGCAAAGGCAATTTGAACTAAAAAAACAAAAAAGTGTTGCTGTGCATAAGTCTGCTGCTGAATTTGAAGAAAGTTTTCTAAGTTTCACGACTCTAGCTTCTTTTCCAGTGTTTTCTTGTTTCTCCAAAGTTCAAAAAGAAAGACCGATGTTTTTGCAGTTCTTGCTAACATTGAAAACAACAATCACACTGACCTCTTCTCATTCATGACCAGAACGACTTAAGAGTCGCCCAGCCTTAATTTCCATTCCATTCGATTTTTTTTAACAAAGCTTCGATTGCAAAATGGCCAAACAGAAATTCAAGGCACACTGAAATTAGACAGAAGATGAAGCAGAAGAAACTCTGCTTTCTTTCAGACTGGCTGCCCTCAATTCTTTGTCTTTCGTTTTTGGTTGCGTGTTGCAATTCTTCCCTGGATTCAGCACCATTCAACGAATTTTCAAAATTTCTGAAGTCTTCCAAAATGTTGAAAAAACCCTCAAAATCAACACTTGATCAGTTAAATTTGTTGAATTTACTCTGGTGTTTCGCTCGCTTCGCTCGCACTTATTCACATTCTGGTAATACACTTTGCAATTTTCAAGTGGCTTGGCTTGGGCGTCGCGCGCAACCTTAACGAATCAACACCACGGTTGAACTCGTCTCGTCCTGCAGTTGATGTCTGTCCAAACGGCACTGTCAGAGGCTTTTAAAAACACTTGTTTCAAAGCATTGAACTTTTCCAAGCTGCAGTTTCCACCGATGTTGACTCTGCACCCTTCTTTTCTCCTCTTCTGCCTTCAGGCCTTGCACCAAAACCTGGAGAATCTGAAACCCAAGATGAGGGGCAGCAAAATTGATCGAAAAGGTAGGGAAGCTCCAGTGACCTCCACAGTAGATGCCCGCACCGCGGAAGCTCACACAACTCTGTGCTTCAAGCGAGGCCTCATCTTCCACGTCTAGACTGCCTTTGACAAAAAGGGCTCCGCCGTCAACCTGCAAGTTACCACAACCTTTGAAACTCATGCTGGCACCTTTCTTCAGGTTGACATTGCCAGCGGCTTCCATACCTCTGTCCTCGCAGTCCCCAAAAGTGATGGAGCCGCCTGACAGGATGAAATTATCCTCAACAGACAAACAGCTCTCAGACTTGCAGCCGCTGAAACGGATGTCACCATCCTCGTCAACCTGCAAAAATTTTGCTTGTTACGCAGACTCCGAAAGCGATGTCACGTTCCAGTCGCACCGATTCAAACTCCACGCGTGACGCATGCTTCACCGAAGCATTTATCGAAGCCTTGCTGCCTTTAACCGTGCATTCATAAGTTTCGTGTGGAGTTCGCTGAAGTGTGAGGTCTGTGATGCTTACATCTCGGAAAAATCCACATTTTCCAAAATTTATGCTTCCACGTAACATCACGTTCCGAAACTGCAAGCCTGAGCCTTCTAAGAACTCAATTGTTGCATCATTCTGTCCAGTAATCACGCAACCTGAGGCTGTGCCATCGTACGCTCCCATAATGCCTCGGGCGACGGTCAGGTCTCCCGTCAAAGGAAAATGCAGTTAAAAAGTCAACTGGTCCCCTTAACAGCCGCTTGATGTCAAGACATGTGGCCGCAAATGCTCATCAGTAGCACTGGCTGACACACTGTCTGCACAAAACACACAGTCTGCGTCTGCATCCTCCTCTAACCCGAGCGTTTCCACTCTGACTTCCTGCGAGATAAACATGTCCTTCAAGACGATGCACTCGAGAATGTCAACTGCCCCCTTCAGCACCAAGTTAACGAATCCCACTTCGGACGAGCCTGACGAGACAGCGGCAGAGCCAAACAGCGTCTACCCGCCTGTAGTCTCAACCATACAGTTTAGCTTCTGTCTCGCATCTTTTGAAAGCACAATGGTTGCCCCAGTGATGGTTAGGTCCCTAAGAACAAAGCAATCGAAAATGTTGGATCCTTCCAGATCGACGGTGAATGTCAAAGAGCCAGCTGTGCAACTTCAGCTGCTTTGCCAGCCAGCTTGACTTTGCAATGTCGCTTGTGGCAACAATCCTTATTAACAGCATTAATTGCGGCATTCTGCATAGTCATCACACAGTCTGGATCCAACGAGTTACCCGTTCCAGCGCCAAGGCGGCGAATCCACTTTGGACAAGCCTGACAAGACAACAGCAGAGCCAAGCGATACTGGAAGCCACACAGTTTACCTGGTTTAGCTTTCTCACATCTTTTGCCAGCACAATGCTTGCCCCAGTAATGCTAGGTCCTTGAGCAATAAGCAATCAAAAATGTCAAGGGATCCTCAGATCGACAGCCTTGAATGTCATCTGGAAGTTCGCAACGAATCGACGGGCGGAAGTAACTGCATCAGTGCTACGTCAACACCCGGCTTTCCCGACGCACTCAAACCGGACTAGAGGCAATTAGCGTTCGAGATCCCGACGCCAGCCAGTGCTAAAGCTCAGAAACACAGCCGCCTGGAGACTCCAAAACACGTTAAATAAGAAAAAACACGTTGATTAACGTGATCTGTCTTAAAATCACATGTAATTGAGCGATGTTGCTCTAAATAGGGTGTATTTCCTTAATTAACACAATTATGTTCTAATTAGAAGCGAATTGATCCTTAATTAACGAGAGGTTCAATTTTTTTTAGCACGTATGTCCTTAAGCTTTATGTTTACAACATATCTTTTCTTATTTTTAGAAGATATTTTTGCTAATAATTAGGAGCTAGATTTTTGGCTTATGTTTTGGAAACAGGCATCGATTTTTTTTTGCTTGATGTTTTGGAAAAGGCCTGGTTTTGCTTGCCAAAAATGGTTTTCACATGCTGTTTGAAAGTTTTGCAAAATGCACTCTTGCGCGAGTATGCAATGCATGCCATGCAAGCTTAACAGCTAGCATGCATGTTCGTGGCATGCATTGTGTAGAACTGATTTTTTTGTGTTGATCGCTTGAGACGGCACAGCTGTTTGAGCATGCACACTTACTGCATGCTCACGTCCATGCATGAAAGTGCATTTTTTCAGCAATGCTCATGAATGTACGTCTGGGATGTTGATTTTCATGTGACATGTTCAGAATGTGTGGCTAGGATGTGTGTCTGGGATTGCCTAGTTTTCTCTATCGCCAAGGCGAGCAGTTGCACAGCAACTTTCTTTTGCATGGCTCCAAGTCCACGAGCGAAGTGCACAGCATCCGCGAAGGTCTTATGAAATGCTTCCGCCTCAACTGCAAAAAGTTTGAGCCCGAAGAGCTGAAGCAGACTTAGATGAGTTGGTGGCAGACAAGAAACAGCTTTTGTCCGACATCATAGACGAGACATGCAGGGCAAACGAAAGCATCGTTGCTGAAGCACTGGATCTTGCCTATGATGGGCCAGAAGAAAAATGTTTTGAAAGAAGTCGCGAGAAAGATCTGTGCTTGTGTGCAGTACGTGAGGCAGAAGGGCCAAAGCAGTAGCTCTTGCAAAAAGCTTACCCCAGCTGGCAAGATTGGTGCAGAAGCATCGAGAGCGATACCAGGGTCCGAAACGGATGTTAAGCACGGGTTCTGCATCGTCGACACCTCCACCGAAGGCCAAGAAGGGTGCTTTTGCTCATGATGCTTTTGCTCATGATGAAGATGCTGCACAGAGCAACTCTGCTGCAGCAACTTTTGCTGCATATGGATTGCAAGATCCCGAAGCAGTCGCTAGTGACTGCAGCGATGTGATGTCGATCCAAGAGTCAGATGCCGAGAACACTTGCCCTGACACCGGCTCTGCCCCCAGCAGCAGCCGATCTCGACCGTACTTCGATGGCAAGAACTATGTGCGAGCACGTGCAGATGGGTCTGTCGAAAAGGCCAGTATGGTTGCGGGTCCGACGGGCTTTTGCCTGGTGCAGTTCGGTTCTGAAAAAGCTTTCAAAAGTGAGGTGCCCAATGTGTATCTGGAGGAGAATAAGCCCAAGAAGAGAGCGAAGGCGAAAGCCAAACCTGCAGCTGTTGATGATGACCGTGATGGGGGGGGCAGGGTGGATGATGGTGCACAGGATCCTGCAGGTGATGATCCAGCAGCGATCAGTGCTGAGGATATCGATGCCAAGGATGTGTGTGTGCATGTCGACTCTGAAGATGATGCAGAGTCCGTCGTTCTGCAGGCCGATGAGTCTGCAGATGAGGGTGAAACGGGCCCTTTGGATGCAGAGAGGAAGACGTGGCATGGATATAGCTTGGAAGATCTACCACAGGAGGCGTGGCCGAACCCGGAGATCCACAGGGGGAAGCACAGTTGGTGCATCCACCTTGACAACGAGCAGGGGGTGATCGATGTTTTGATGCGGAGTCGTGCTTTTTGGATCAAAAAACCTGTGAAAGCCAAGGGTCAGCATTCATGGAGTAAGTATAGCTCGGTGGCAGAGGCCTGGGAAGCGACGAAGACAGCATGTAGAAATGCAAACGTGTTGAAGCGGCCTGCCGCTGCGATTAAACTTTTGTCCTGATGGTGCTCTGCAAGCGCCTCAAACATGTGCTGCAAGACTATAGTTTGTGCTTGATCGAAAGCTGATTTTGTACAGAACACGGAAGGGTTGCGAGAAACGGAAAACTTCTGCATGCATGCTGCGTGTTTTTCCAAGTTTTGACCATTTTGCTTCAGTCGATCTGTGCACGTGCATGGCTCGTATGTCGTATGCATGGCTTGCATGTTTGCTGAAGTTTTTGTACAGTAATTTGTTTTGAATTTGTTTGGGGCCATGCGTTTTTAGCTGGCCGAGGCGCGGGAAGTGGAAGTGTAGATCTCTCACTCTGTCAACATATGAGCAGGTCATTTCTTGAATGTTGCTGCAGAAACGTATACTATGCTCGGCAGGTGCAGATGCATGGGCAGTTTTGTTGTCCGTCCTCGCAGGCTGTGATAGCATCGAGCATGCTTCTCTTTAGGGAGCTTGGCATAAGGTTTAGGGTTTAGGGTTCTTAGGGTTTGCGAATTCTGCGGCAGGTGGACACGGTGATCTCGATCATTCTTCGTTTTCCATGGATGTCGATCGAGGCCTGCTGCATGCATGCTTATTGGTTTGGGCTTGCAAGTGCTTGTGGCGTCCGAGTGTGTGGCCTTGAAAATCTGACCGAAGAAGAGTCTAGATATCACATGTCGTAAACATATACTTTAAATATACAGCAAAGATATGTGGCAGGTGCATGCTGCTGGCGATCGATCTCGATCTCTGCGATTTTGTGCGGCCGCCCAGCAACTCCGAGCTGAGAGCATCTCAGTCGAAACCCTAAACTCCCAAAACTTTAGACCCTGATATTTCCAAAGCACAAACCCCAAACTTTAAGCCCTTTAAGTCTATAACCTGTAGCTAAATATACACCTGGCTCAACTTCAGTTTAAACTTGAAACTTACCCTGATCCTTAATCCACGGCTGTATATATACGAAGGTCCATGGAGCACAGCTGTTGAAGTGTGGGCTCGTTTGGGTTTCACTTCAACAGGTCGCAAGGGTTCCCAAGAAAACCGTCCGAAAGCTTAGGCCTGACTGCGTCAACTGCGTTGCAGAGGTCGACATCCAGCTGCAAGGAGCTCAGATATCGACGTGCACCGTTTATGTTGCAGGTTTGGGTTTGGGGTTTCGGGTTTGGGGTTTGGACGAGGCTTGAGACTTGAGGGTGCACTGCACCAACTTAAATCCCAAACCCGAAGAAAACCTCAGCCCGAAACCCGAAGTCCTTTCTACCTAATTACCTAAACACGCACTAAATCGAACCCCTTTGATCTGCAGGCTACGAGCAGCCGAACACTGTGACTGTGTGATGCTGCGAGCTCAGCACAGCTCTCCCCCCCTCCCCCCCCTCCCCCCCCCTCCCCTGCCCTCCCCCCCCCTCCCCCCCCACCGCTTCCTCACACAACCCAAAGAGAGAATCTCTCGTTTGGGTGTGCCCCCCCCACCCCCCCCCCCCCCTCCCCCCCCCATCATACCAATTTGCAGCCTGTTTGCGTTTAATTCAGCGCCCAAACCGGCCCTCGCCTTAAAGGTGCTCGCACGATGCACATTTTTCATCAAACTCCAACCCAAAGCACCAAACCCCAAACCCTGAAACCATAAGTGGAAACTTGAAACCCTAAACCTTAGGGTCTCTTGGGTTTAGGCTTTAGGCCTAGGTTAAGGGTTTAGGGTTTAAGGTTTAGGAGTTTAGGGTTTAGGGTTTAGGGTTTAGGGTTAACGGTTTAGGGTTTAAGCTTAGGGAGGTTTAGGCCTAAACTTAAACCCTAAACCCCAGACCCTAAACCTTAAACCCTAAAAAGTAGCATTCTGAGGACGCCTACTCCTTAATCAAAGGGGGACTGGAGTCCCTGGGTCTTGGGAAGCTAAAGGGTTTGGGGTTGGTTGTTTTGGTGTTGGCCCATTTTCATAGCTTTCGTCAGCCCTCGTGAGTGTCAGCTCAGGGTTTAACCCAGGTTTAGGGTTTAGGGTTCAGGATTTGGCATTTGTGAGCCTTTGGGGTTCAGCCTAGGGTTCGGGGTTTTAGGTTGAGTCGTCCTGATTTCCACTGGGCCCATAAGCCTCTTGCTCTCTAGGGGTCACTCTTAAGGCTTACGGTTCGGGGTTTCTGGACTGCGAGGTGGAGATACGATTCCGACGTGCTCTGCCATGGATGCTCCAGGCCCGGCCGTTTGCACTGCTTTGGAGTGTGAGCTGAGCACCCAAAAAATTTTTAACACACATTTTTTTTAACATTTTTTAACTGTTAAAAATTGTCGGTTTTCCAAAGGATTTCCTTTTAAAAGACGTTTCTTTTAACAGTTAAAAAATGTTAAAAAAAATGGCTGTTAAAAATTTTTGGTTCAGAGCTCGGCAGGTTTGGTCTGCCTTCGGCAAGATGGTCTGAGGCGCTGGAGCTCGCTGTGAGCCGAAGTTTCGATCGTGTACTGGCTTCTTTCTGCTTTCACATGCACATGTAGAGAGATGGTTGTTGCTTATATGTTTTGAGCACATCAGTGCAACGATCCTCAAGACCTAGGAGCCAGATTCACGACTACATATAGATCTGTTGCCTTGCCGACAGCATGGGCAAGAAAGTGATTACTCCCAAGGCCAAGGCTGCGCCAAAGAAAACGGCAGCGAAGAGCAAGGCGAACATGTCCAAGCTAGCGAGGGCTGCAAAAGCCAAGGTAGAGAAGAACTCACCGCGACCCCAGAAGAAAGGCCCAAAGGCCGAGATCGATGAGACAGATGCGCAGACTTCGGAAAGCACCAAAGGCCTAGGATACCCAAGAGGCACGATCAGTGCCTTGATTACTTCGCTGAAATACCAAGCGAAGGCGAAGAAGGTGACGGAGGATCAGAGGGCTGATTGCATGAAGACTTTGAGCGATACTGTACTGCGTTAAGAGTTAGGTGCTTTTATAGACTTGCTGATTTTACTTAGTATGAGATGTTTTTTTGTCCATATGAGTAGCTGCGGGATACATGCTTGTGTGCTGCCGGCCATAAAGCCTGCAGTTCATTTATGCCAAGGAGTACCAGTCGGGCGACCTCGCTACCCAGCGATCCATCTTGAACAACCTCTCCAAGTTCGGTGTCCAGAACTGCAGCTGGGTGCACACTCTTCACAAAACCACGACCAACACAGAGGTGGAGGCTGAGCGATTGCGAACCAACTTCTTGACCCGGATGCTGGGGCGCAGTGAGATGTTCGTACCTTGTGCTTTGCTGCAGTGTTCGTTTTGAAGTTTTTTTCCGACAAGACTCTGAGGAAAGCAATCTTCAAGCTGCAGGGTGTGGAGCACAAAGACTTGTCGGAGGAGGAGCAAGCTGAGGTTTTGGAAGAGCTGCTCACGGCCCAGGAGAAACTCTTCGGCTACGAGCGGCACGTGGAACGACATGGGAAGTTCCGAGTGTTGGATCGCTTCTTGTTCAAGTGGTCCGAGGGTCAGACGCTTGACACCGCCACGACCAGCCAAACCCAGAGTGTTTCGACTGCCACAAACTTGAAGAAAACGGGCTCTGCAAGGGCCGTGGAGATGATGAAGCATGGTGGCTCGCTCACTGAGGGCGATGGGGATGGCGAGCCGAGCACAGCGAAGCCCAGCGAGAGCTTTGGCCTCTTGAAGGAGAAGCGAAGGGAGTTGGAGTCCTTTCGTACGAGATTGAGCAAGACGAGCGAGGACTTGCTTTTCGTCCTGACACAGGTCCGCAGCTTGGAGGACTCCTCGTGGGCCAAGAAGGAAAGCGAGCTGCAGAAAGCCTGCACTGCTTTGGACGGTTTTCTTCAGAAGATTCGCTCTGCCCTTGCTGAGAAGCTCCCGCAAGACGTTGCCGACGACTACACAACCCAGATTGGCGACTTGGCCAAGGTGCTGGAGGAGGCCACTCTACACGAGAAGGCTTCCAAGCAAGTTTTGAAGACGGCTAGAGCACTGCTGCTGTGAGCTGTCTCTTGTGTGCACTCCAGGTTGAAAGGATCGTAAGCATCCTTTCAGGATTCGTTGCTGCTAGCACCCGCCGGCACTCAAAAAGAAAGCATTAGGGTTCTGCATGCGACTGCACCTGTGTGTAGCAAGCTTCTGCAAGTTGCCCTTGCTTACCTCTTGCATGCCGCCAGTCGAAGCTCCAGAGGTGTACTTTGCTTGAAAGGACTACTAGGACGGACTGCTGCAAGATTTGTTAACACAGGGGCATTTGTTTCGTACTGTCTAGAATATATGTGTTGCAGAGCTAGATGCTTGCATGCACGTCGTACTTGACATAATTGTTTTGTTCGTTCAGCGACGGAGCTCATGCATGCCGGCCTGTTTTGTTCCTTTTGCCTTTTCTTCTTTGCAGGAGATTTGTCCATGTACCTGAAGCGAACACTGGCTTCTACAGATGACATTCCGGAGAAGAAGCGGTTCAGGGCTGATATTTTGGACTTGACCATCAGCTCAGATATTTCTGGACAGCGGGCCGCCAGGCTCATTCACCATGCGAAATTAGCCAACACAGAGAATATCAGCGACTTAGCAAAGGTTCCTGTGGGCAAAAACTCTGCGAGGGATCTGTTGAAGCGATGTTTCCGCAATTCGAAATGGCCAGATGTTTATACATTGGAGGTTCCGGCCTGGAACCCTGGCAAGAACGTGCCCCAGAATATGAAGCTGCACATGCTGCTACCGCATGAATTGATGCTTGCTGTGCTGAAAGTGAATAGCATGGACGGTCTCTTGCGACGGCAGCAGCTGGCATTGGCCCATCGGCCCGACTTAAGCAGACACCTTGGCCAGGCCTCTGCCCAGCTCGGCATTGATGCTACGAAGACTTTGATTGCTGGACTTTGGGTGGACTCTGTCCCGTTTAACAGCGACAGAACACACAGCCTGGAGGTCTTCACATTCAGTTTGATTGGAGAGGGGCCGATGAGGTTTCCGATTTGTTGCTTCCCCAAAGCCTTTTTGAAAAAGCACTCCACCCACGATGCGATACTCGCCGTTTTGGCTTGGTCCTTTCGGGCAACCTTATGTGGAGTGTGCCCGTCTATGCGACACGATGCAACCGCTTGGCGAACGACAGACAAGCATCGACGACGGCTGCAGGGAAAATCTGCCCCGATCATGATACTGGGAGAACTCCGTGGCGATTGGTCCATGTATAAAGACCTTCTCGAGTTCCCGTCATGGGCAGCTGCTGGCCCGATATGTTGGCGGTGCGACTGTACAAGGGCCCAACTGAAGGACTTTACCCTCGCATCGCTGACGAGGCTTCCATGCATGCATGTCTGAAGAATACATACAAATATAGCAGGCCTTACTTTTCTCACGAGTCTGGAATCAACAATGCCACCCTGATTTCACCTTAAAGTAGGAGGTCTTTGTGTTTTTTCTGTTTGTTTCATCGCACTTTTGACTCCTCAGGCGGAGGGAGTTGACCTCCATGGACTTCTTGATGCGACAACATGCAGCGGACAAATTCATTTCGCAGATTTTCAGCATCCCTCTTTTTGTGAAAATATGACATTTCTTTGTTTGCCTAGTTGCTTGCAGGTACATGTGTAGGACATGAGTGCTGTGACATGGCAAGAACATGTTTTGTTTTGGCATGAGCATGTTTGCATGACATGAAGGTGCTTTGACTTGACATGTTTTGGTTTGCAAGTCCGAGGATGAGTTTTGGGAAGCACAGAAAGGCTTTTAGCTCTCGGGAGTTGACCTGAGAGTCATCTGGAAGTGCTGAAGCAAAGCTCTGAGGAACAGACTTTGGCCGTTACTCACTCCGTGTGCCTTGCCCCGTCGTTCGTACCGTGTCGTGACCGTTTGACACTCGACTGAGGCATTCTGAGAGCATGCTGTATGTTTTGCAACAGACCTGAAGTCCTGAAGCAGTAACCAAGATGTGTTGCATGTTACTTTTGCATTCTCCGTTGTCTAAACAAAGTTGAGATGTCGTTTGAAGACTTGAAGCCTTTGCTCTTGGAGAGAGCACCTTTGCTGACTGAAGACAGTGCAGCTGAACACTGACGTGTTTGGCTCAAGTGCGAACGGAAAAAGCAGTCTGCGCTAAAGCTCTGCTTTTCACATGGTAGCGGAGCGTCCTGAAGAGACGTTCCAGGAAAAGCCATGGCCCAAGTTCCGGACGCGTCTACAGTGCCAGTACCTGATGTGAGCCCTGAGGAAGAGGCTTTGCTGTTTGGGTCTCAAGGACAACCGACAGCACCTGCTGGAGGAGCGAACCCTTTTGCGTCGCCTCCGGCAACTCCAGCTCAAGCTCATGCTTCGCCTACTGGAAGCCAAGTGGGTGGAGTACAAGCTGGAAATGGCCTTGGTGAAGGCAACTTCCAAGCCATCTTCTTGGAGATGCTAAGGCAGCAAAGTCAGGCCAACCAGCAGAACCAGCAGTTGATAGCTGCCCTCATGAGAAGAATGGATTTGGAAGAGAAGCGTCGAAATGAGGCTGAAGAGAAGGCAGCGGAGACCGCACGTTTGGTTGCGGAGGCTGCAGCTAGAGCCAAGACGGAAGACCCGTTTGCAGCTGCACCGAGCACACCTTCTGTGCCTTTTGCAGGAGCTACCTCGTCTTCGAGCTCTGTTCGGAGCCCATTGGTGCAGAATAGGGCGGAGAAGTACCTTCCATCTCTGCCGATGCTAGAGCATCAAGGCATGAACAAGGGCAGGATGCGAGAAGTCGAGACATGGCATGCCTACCTGGAGACACTGTCATCGTGGCTTGCTCTTCAAGATGAGTCTTTCGTTCGAGAGTTGCAACTCTGCGTCAAGCAAAAGAATGAGATCCTTCAGAAGGATTTGGCGGATGATGTTGCTGCTCGAAGTGCGAAGCTTTACTACTATCTCACCCAATCTCTCTCACGTTGGGAAAGAGGTCAGGAGTTGCTACGCTCGTGCTCGAAAAGGCAGTCTCTCAGTGCCTGCGGATACGAGGCTGTGAGGACCATCACGCAGCAATACAGCATCGTGTCTCGCATGGAAGCTGTCTACGTGCGGGAGCAGTGCCTCAAGTTGGCGGTGTGCTTCCTTCCCCTTGCCAGAAGAAGTGAAGGCCTTAAAGGCTGTGCGGAATTCTTCCTCTTGTGGAATTGTTTCTGAACGCGCCGATCGCATGTCTTGTGCGTTGGAAAAACACAGTGTCTTTCAGGCTTGTTTGGACTTGGAAAGAAGCATGAGTGAAGCAGTTGAACAGACATGTTGCTGTGTGAGACTTGCTTGGTTAGGAGTGTGCGAGCTTGAAGGTCCCTTGAAGAGAAGCCCAAAAGAACTTCGATCTTCTCGGCAGTACCCTCAAAGATCCGAAATACCCTCAAGTCCGCGTTTAACTAGCCCGAAAGAACGTCGATCTTCTAAGCAGTACCCTCAAAGATCCGAAATACCCTCAAGTGTGAACCTCAGAAACGCCACGAACCCAAACCTCCTGAACATGAGTCATGACAGACCCCTGCCGGCCAGGAGTGCTTTGTTTTGCATGCCAGGAGAAGCATTGGATGTTTTCGCTTGCTTGGCGATCTATGTGATAGCAAGTCTCTTGGGGGGTTCGTTCTGGTTAGGGTTTCGATTCTTGAAGATGTGTTTGAAAAGGTTTCGAGGAGTTGGTGACTACCCTCAACTTGTATCCCGAAAGTACCGTTTACACCATCGTCGTAAAGGAGTCCGAGTGCGAATCAAGACTCGTTTCTGTTATGTTCGAGTTGATGTAGAACGTACTCTGGTCTTTAGCAGGCACGTTGTGAAACCAACTTGGAGCTCAGGTTTTAAAGCCTCTTTGAAGTTCGCATGTAAGGCCATGTGCTTGGGCCTTTGTCTCGACAGGAACTTGTGGAGCTTGTTGGTGTGCATGGCATGGTGTTGTGCTTGGAGTGTGTGTGGTTGTTGTTTGTTGAGAAGAAAGGGCGATGATGAAAAAGGGAGCAGATCCACTTCTGAGCACAGCCACTTGAGAGTTATGCGTGGACTGCCCCTCCCCGGTAAGGGGACGCAAGCTGAGCCCTTAGAACTCGATAGTGACATACCACGTTCTTCAGAGAGAAAAGAGAGAGGAGAAAAAGAGAGTCCGCTTCCGAAGCCTCAAGGTGCTGAACCACCTAAACCCCCGGAACCGCCTGGAGGTGCAGAAGTTTCAGATAGGATACCTCTGCGAAGTGTGGCTTTGCAAGTGCATAGATCCAGAGGTCATTTTCCTTATGATGTGAACTGTGAGGCCTGCACCTCGAGTAAAGGGAAGGTTCCTGCGAGACGGTTGCGAAGGCGTTTGCAACGCGAGGACCAGACGATAGGAATGGATTTCTACTACTTCGGTCGTCTTCGTGTGCTGCTTCTTGCACATTGCTCTTCGAACTATACCACGGTCATCCCGGCCATGAATTTGGATGATCCGGATCTGTTTTACAACATTGGACGAGTGATTCGCGAAATGGGTCTTGTGAATAAAATGGTCACAGTGAGATGTGATCAGGAGTCGGCTTTGATGTCTTTAGCCGAAAAATTGACTACCCGTACAGGTGATGTAGCTGTTTCTGGCGTCATTGTGGACGTCGTGCCCGGGTATCGCCCTCAGTCAAAAGGCGCTATTGAAAGACAAGTAGAAACTATGAAGCAGGGATTTTGGGCAGTGTGGTTAGACTTGGAGAGAGAAGTTGCGCGGAATTCCGCGCCGGAAGACTGGAACAAGAAGCTTCCGCTGGGAGGAATGCTCTGGCAAGCTTGTGTCCTTTACAGCGCCAGGTGCTACAACCTCTGGAGCTTTAGTCACCAGGACGTGACTACGCCCATTGACCGGCTGCACGAGGAGATTGTGCATCGTACGAGGACCCTGCCGTTTGGATGTCTTGTCTACGCTAAAGTAGGGGGCTCAAAAGCGCATCAACAGAAGTACAGGGGAAAGAAAACAGTGAAAGCTGTGTATCTAGGGCCTAAAGAGCCTAGAGGGGGCGGTGTCTTTGCTGCTCCAGTGGGTCAGACTGAGATCGATATCTTTCCTGTCTGTAGGGCCTTAGAAGGAGCGAAAGGTGAGCCTGTCTACGACGTAGGGGCCATACACGCTCTGTCTACTTCACAGCCTCTCGTTTTAGACCCAGCGGATCCTGAAAGGCCCATCATGTTTGAGCCACCACCTGATCCGGTGAAGTCAGAAGACCCTGACCCGGGGTTTGAAAACGAAGATGAAGAGATGGTACCAGATGATCCTGATCCTCTGAATGATATTCCGTCTTACGTGGAACCCACAGATGATGAGGGGGAAGGCGGACTTGGGTCACCGGAAATGCAGCCGGATGACCTAGAGGACATGGAAATTGACTGGCTAACTAACCATCTGTTAGAGTCTTTGTTCAAAGGACCGGACATTCTGGCCACGTCTAAAGAAGTAGCTGATTCGTTTACTCTCAAATTCGGAGGGAGTAAGATCAAGTGCCAAGTACCCCGAAACGCCGTTTCTGAGACCTCAGGTGAACAGTTAGACCCTGAACTTTTGTATGCTTCGATGAAGTTGGAGCTTGAGGAACTCGAGTCTTTTGGAGTAGGAAAAGTGATCTCTGAAGCTGAGGCCCGCAAGTCGGCGCGAGAGAGCGGTCGGAGGGTTCTCACGAGCAGGTGGGTTAACACGATCAAACGTAAAGGTCTTTACCGTTCCCGCCTCGTTGTTAGAGATTACGCTTCAATGGGAGGCACGACGCTTTCAGAAGGCATCTACAGCCCGACTACGAGTTTAGAGGGTTTAAGGCTTCTTTTGGCATTGCTTTGCAAGAAAGGCTCAGTGTTGAGCTGTGACGTGAGCGTGGCTTTCATGCACGCTGCAGTGTCAAGGCCAGAGTACGTAGAGCTCCCAAACAATGTGAGTATTGCGGACTCTTCTGTTCCCCAAAAGGCAGGAAACAAGAAGGTGTATCTTCGTCTTCATAAAGCGATGAACGGATTGAGATCGGCACCGCTTTCTTGGTATAAGGAACTGAGTTCGTACTTGGAGAAGAGCGGATTCAGTCCAAGCCTGGACCCTACGATATACCGAAGGAAGACGTCGAAGGGTCTGACGTTGGTACTGTTCTATGTAGACGATTTGCTGATCTACTCCGAGGACCCCTCGGAAGGTAAGAGAGTTTTCGAAGGACTGCAGAAACGCTACAAGCTGAAACTGACTGGAGAGCTTCCTGAGAATGGTGCGGGGGAAGTTTCCTTCTTGGGTAGGAGAATATTCCGACGTTCCGGAGACAAGCGCGTCTATTTCGGGCTAGATAGCAAGTACCTAGACGCGTGCTGCTCTGAGTACAATATAACCAAACCGAGCCCCAAACTCCCGTCGCTTGAAAAGCGATACTCCGACCTGGTTCGAAAAGGGCAAACTGAAAAGATTAGCCCGGCCGCACACGAAAAGTATCGTAGAACCCTTGGTCGGCTTGCATGGGCAGCCCTCTCCCGACCGGACCTGCAATTCTGTTGCGGGTTTTTGGGCCGGCACCAGGCGGCGCCAGACGAGGCTGCTGAAACATGCATGAGAGACGTCCTTAAGTGGATAAAAGGGCTTCCGCACCGAGTACAGGTGTTTCCATCAACTCGGGAGATCCTGGAAGATGATGCGGATCCTCAGGCGGTTTCCTGTTTTACAGACGCAAGCTGGAGTTTGAATTCGGTTAGTGGTGGTGTGATTACTTGGGAAAACTGCTGTCTGAAGACTTTTAGCAGAAAGCAATCAACCACAGCCCTGTCCAGCGCTGAGAGTGAGCTCGCGGCGCTCACGGAGATAGCCAGGGAAGGTCTCTACATTGCCCTCTTGACAGAGACCATCTTGGAAGGCATTCCGCAGGACAGGGAGACCGGTTACTATCTCTTGAAGGGTTACTCTGACTCTGAAAGCGCGGTTTGTATCTCAAAAATGGGAACATTGCTGAGGAAAGTTCGCCATATAGAGTTAAGAGCCGCATTTCTCCAGGAACTTGTGGATCGTGGAAGGTTCACGATTGAGCACATACCGGGGGCCATCAACCCCGCAGATGCTCTAACGAAAAGTCCCACGAATGACAGTTTGGCAAGCTTGTGTGAGGCTTGTGGCTTGACCACCGAGCCGGTTGGCTGGGAGAAAAAGCTTCAGGCACTAGCGTTTCGGTTACCTTTAAAGAGCCCAATACCTGCGACGAAGTGCTCGCAATTCCGAGCTCGTGGAAGGACGAGGCCTACAGAGTTGCTTCTGGGGAGGCCACCATGGTTGTCTTGGAACTCTGTTGCGAAGAGGAAAGCGCGATAGCCCAAGCTTGTAAGCGGGAACGTGACATCGCGTACTTTGGAATCACCAAGAAGCTAGACTTGCTGAGTAGAGAGGCTTCTTTGTTGCTAAAAGGGATTCTGGAAAAGATGGCTTCTAACGAAAGAATCTACGTGTATGCACATTTGTCTACGCCGTGCAGCGCAGGTAGTGGCCTTAGGCACCTGCGTTTCTCAAAGGACGTGAAGAACCGTGCGAGATGGAGAGCTAGTCTGGAGGTACACAAGAAGTCCTGGAGACGCATACGAGCAGTTTTCCAGGACTATGCTGGCCACGAGAGGCTCCTCCTCTCCCACGAATGGCCTAAAGGGTCTGGCCTTTGGGGAGAAACAGTCTACAAGTCAACAGCGAAAAGACTGGGACTCGAGCACGAGTGTTTGGTAGACCGGTGCTGTTTCGAGGAAGCTGGCAACCGTATCCTGAAGCATTGGTGGTTCGTCAGTTCGGATTCAAGTTTTATCTGGACTTTATCCTCTTGTGTTTGCCCAGGAAACCACGAGCATGCGAGTGCTACTAGCATAGCAGCGACAGGTGTCTATCCGCAGGGCTTAGGCCGATTCCTGGTGAAAGAAGCCAGGAAAAGTCTCGAAAGACGAAAGAAGGACTGACCGCGCAATAGGCATGAGGGGGTGTGAAAATATGACATTTCTTTGTTTGCCTAGTTGCTTGCAGGTACATGTGTAGGACATGAGTGCTGTGACATGGCAAGAACATGTTTTGTTTTGGCATGAGCATGTTTGCATGACATGAAGGTGCTTTGACTTGACATGTTTTGGTTTGCAAGTCCGAGGATGAGTTTTGGGAAGCACAGAGAGGCTTTTAGCTCTCGGGAGTTGACCTGAGAGTCATCTGGAAGTGCTGAAGCAAAGCTCTGAGGAACAGACTTTGGCCGTTACTCACTCCGTGTGCCTTGCCCCGTCGTTCGTACCGTGTCGTGACCGTTTGACACTCGACTGAGGCATTCTGAGAGCATGCTGTATGTTTTGCAACAGACCTGAAGTCCTGAAGCAGTAACCAAGATGTGTTGCATGTTACTTTTGCATTCTCCTTTGTCTAAACAAAGTTGAGATGTCGTTTGAAGACTTGAAGCCTTTGCTCTTGGAGAGAGCACCTTTGCTGACTGAAGACAGTGCAGCTGAACACTGACGTGTTTGGCTCAAGTGCGAACGGAAAAAGCAGTCTGCGCTAAAGCTCTGCTTTTCACACTTTTCGGTTCAGAGAATTGCAAGTTCGACTTCCTTCACTGCGTGGACCTGGGAATAACCTGTGACTTTATTGGATCGATGTTCTACTACCTGCAGGAGTATGTTTTGCCGGGCCGTTCTCGCCATGACAAGTGTGCTCTCATTTTCCAGGAAATCTCTGCTTACTACAAGGCCAACGATTCCGAGAACCGCCTTCCGAAACTGGTCCCTACAATGTTGAGGGCAGAGGAACGTGGGAAAATGAAAGCTCCCAAACTTCGTGCAAAGGCAGGGGAGGCGAGAACACTTGTCCCCTGTGTCATGCAGATCGCAGACAAATTCTTGGACTCCTCTGTCCCGGCTCAGAACACGATGATTCATGCGAGCCGCCGCTTGAACAGCATGTACGAGTGTCTGAGCGAGCAACGATGGCTGCCAGACCTCTTCCAGCAAGCATCCCGCGAATTTTTGCTCCTGCTGGAGGGGTTGGAAAGTCATTTCCTGGACCTCAAGCTTTTTAGGGTTAAACCTAAAGCCCACCAGCTTTTTGAGTTGGGGTTGGACCGTGTGAATCCGACTAAGCATTGGACGTACCGTGACGAATCGTTCGGCCACAGCATGGCCCTTTTAGCACGCCGCAGAGGTGGCCGCTTTACCATGTCTGCAGTTTCTTGGCAAGTGCTAAAGCGTTTCACAGCTGGCAACCGACTGCCACGACTCGATGAGTGAAGAAAATGGCACAACTGGGACGTATGAGAACCCGCACTGGTCAGAGTTTTTTTACCAAATATGTTTTTTATGGAATAAAGACTTTGATAATATTCGCTTTTGGATGTATACCAAATTTCTACACACAGAAATTGTTAGATTCATGTCGGTATATAAGTATAGATATATATCACTATAGAAAAATATTCCTAAATTAAGCAAGAATTTTGTCTTAATTAAGAAAGAAATCAGGGCCCCTTAATTAAGAGATGCATCCTTAAATTCAGAACGCAAAACAACTCTTAAACTTATTTAAGATGTTTTGGAGTCTCTGGGCGGTCCGTCAAAACAAGTCCCACTCAGGTGTGCTTCATGTTCCTCTCGAACAAATTTCCAAGGAAATCCCAGTGACACAATTCCTGATTTAAGAATGCACCGGAGCTCGGTAGTCCTGACGAGCTTATAGACAACATGCATTTTTGCAAACTCGACTTGGCTGCCACGGCTGCAAAAGCTCTCTGGTGGCGAACGCTTTACTTTAGCGCGGACGTCATCTCCCATCTCCCAAATCTGCTGCGCTGTAGAACTCAACGACTTGCAGACGTCTCTCAAGAATCGAGAAGCAAATGAGCATTGCTTCATTTGCTGCTTCTGCTTCGCTATGACGTGCTTTAACCACTTCCACAAGCCTTTTCGCTGCTGCCTTTTCTGTTTCCTCTTTTGCTTCCTCTTCTGCTGGCGCGCTTGCTGCTGCCTGCGCTGCTTGCGCATGTTCTTACGCTGCCACCGCTTCTGCTGCCTCTCTTGCCTGCGCTGCTTCCGCAAGTCCTTACGCTTTGTTGCTGCCGTTCCTGCCTGCTCTCGAAACCAGCTGCCTTCCAAAGGCACCAAACTGCCAGGGTCGCTGATCCAGGACCCGGAAGGGCAGGCAACCATCGACAATTATTAGGGTTATTACTATTGTCATGATCAAGGTTATTTATATTTTTTGGTTTTAATTATTATGATACTATTGTCATGATCAAGGTTATTTATATTTTTTGGTTTTAATTATTATTGTGGTTATGACAATTATGGCTTTTTATATTATGGTTATCATTACGGTAACCTGCAAAACCAAAGTTCTAATATGTTCTAATTGCGCCGGAACCTCCAGGTGAAAGTGCTCTGGCCGCTCGCTGGTGATCAGGATGCAGCAAAAGGCGAAGATCGGTCCGAACAGCATGTCCATGGATTCTGACCAGGAGTTACAAAGTTAGAGGTTGGAATGATCTTGAAAGCCCGTTTCCTCTGTTCATCATGCGGAGATTCTCAATCGAACGTGTGAGCAGGTCACAACTTCATGCGTCACTCGCAACCTCTTTCCTACTCGCTCACAAGATGCGCTCCACAAATCCACGGCTTTTACCCTGCGGAAAACTTCCGACCCCAAAACTAAACCGGCATGTTTTTCAATTCTTCGAATTTACGCAAGATTGCTCAAAGTCTTATTCAACAAGACAGCAGAAGGACAAACACACGTACACACTCTTGGACACGTCACTGTGTTGCTTGGCCTGCCTGATCTTTACCCGGCGGAGTAGGCGAAGGGTGAATGTTCATGCATGCAACAGCGGTAATTAAACTTTGATTTGTCAGGGAGTCTGCCCTTTGTGACCCACGTATGCAAAAAAGTTTCTTCCGCCAAATTCTCCAAGGTCACGTTGTCACTTGAGAAGTGCTTTTGAAGAGCGTGCGTTTATTATTGTTATCATTGTTATCTGTTATTCTTGTTATTATTGTTATTATTGTTATTATTGTTATTATTGTAATGATTGTTATTATTGTTATTATTGTTATTATTGTTATTATTGTTATTATTGTTATTCTTGCTATTCTTGTTATTCTTGTTATTCTTGTTATTCTTGTTATTCTTGTTATTCTTGTTATTATTGTTATTATTGTTATTATTGTTATTATTGTTATTATTGTTCGGATCGAAACAGGGATGAAACAGGAGAGAAGCTAAATCCTAAATCCTAAACCCTAAACCCTTAACCCTTAACCTAAACCCTAAACGCTAAACCCTAAACCCGAAACCCTTGCTTCTTTGCAAGCTCCTCAAGAGATCACGTGTGCAGGGTGCTGCAGCCATCCTTGGTTTTGTCCCTTTTAAAGTTGTGGGCTGGCACTCAACCAAGTTACCATGCTGTAAGCCAGTATGCGCATGGAAAGCCTGCATGCACGGACATGGATGGTTGGAAGCAGCTTTACGTTTACTGGAAAGAAGTTTCAATTTGCTGATGAATATAGCTTATATGCGTGGTTGTAAATTCTGGAAAGTAAAATTGTCTTTTTTGTTTGGTTTTCCAGTGTTTTCTAAGTTCAAAAAGAAAAACCAATGTTGGCTTGGAAGTGCCTTCACCAAGGCTATTTCCAGCTTGCACTCCACCCACTTGGCTTTCAGCAGGTGAAGCATGAGCTTGAGCTAGAGTTGCCGGACGCGACGCAAAAAGGGTTCGCTTCTCCAGCGGTGCTGCCGGCTGTTCTTAAGACCCAAATAGCAACTTCCTCAGGTTGACGCGTCCGAAACTTGGGCCATGCTTTTCTGGAACGTCTCTTCTCTCTTTAGAACTTGATTTCCATTTCATTCGGTTTTTTTGACAAAGCTTCGATTGCGTTCTCTTGTTTTAAATTTTTACAAAATAGCCAAACAGACATAAGAAGCCAAAATACTTTAAATTCAAAAAAAGGCCCGCAATTGCAACTGCCAGTTTTGCAATGGTTTTGCAAACTGACCTGTGCTGTATAAACCCTTTACGCCATGGTACCTAAACTACGTTACTACTATGATCCCTTTAGCTTTCACGTGTAGCAGTCAACTCTGGCACAAAGCATCGGCAGTGTGGGAATCCCTTACCGTAGTGCTGCTACGCATTTTGGGAAATGTTGACGCTGATTCTTGGAATTTGGGGCTTGGGGGGGTCAGCTTCGTTGCTTCGGGTGGTTTGCTTCGGAGCTTGCTTCGCAGGCGTCCGGCCGGCGGAGGGGGAGGGGGGGAACAACAACAACCCAAGAGCCCACGAATTCGGAACCCAGGTTCGGAACCCACGTTCGGCTTAAGGATGGCTATATACTGCAGTTTTGCTTTAGTGGGAGTCGGTCCAAAAGGAGCAAGCTAGAAATGATTTGTTTGTTGTCCCCAAACTGGGAACCTGCATTTGCGACAAGTATCCTCCTTCAGGCCCGGAAAGCAGCTTAGTTTTTTTGGCTTTTTGTCGCAAAAGAATAACAGACTCAGCCGAGCAATAAGATCCGTTGGCAGGCAAGGTACTGCAGATGCGGCCGCTTGCACTTCGCGGAGGGGATGCGGCACTCGTCAGGTTTTTTGGCAGCAGATGAGCTGCTCAGTCCCTGAATGTTAAGTGTCTTGTTTGGTTGCGCTTCACGTAAGCAAAGCTGTCTACTTGTCGGAACCGTGGCGGAGAGTCCCACCGACAGTCAGAGAGAACTTTTCAGACCCTCAGCAGCCCAGATTCCTGCGTCGTGCCCCATGTCAATTAGCCTGATGCGCTGCGTCATCGGCCTCCTTCTGGGCACTGCCGCGGGAACCCCAACCGAGGAGTGTCAGCAGGAGGCAAGCCAGCTTTTGCAAAGGACTGTTTCCAAGACCATGTTGGAGCGACGGATGGGAGATTCGGATGCGGCACATGCTGTGACGAATGCTGTGACGGTTGAGCAGGTCTTGGATTACTTCTTCGCGGATGTGAACCTGCTTGGTTCTCGAATCCCGGCGGCTATCAAGCAAGACAACACCTGGGCCGAGTGCACACAAGTGGATTGGACGGAGCATTCTGGACAAGGAGTCAAGGAAGTCATAAAGGCCATGGAGGAGGAGCTTGGTGTGGATGCTTTCTGTGCGGAGAACCCGAAGGATGACACTTGCAAAGCTATCAATGCAGCCATCCGGACTTCATGGGAACTGGTGCACCGTTACGAGCTGGCGCCGAAGTTCACCAGTGTGGCCGTGACCGACTGGGGCGAGTATCCTTCCTGGGTGGCTGGCTCCGTCGGAGATGTGGATCGTGAGGTGGAGCCGCCCCAGGCTGAAGTGCTGGACGGCAAGGGCCTGGTGGGCTACAGCATGTGCTCCATCTTGCGCACCGTCCTCACAGGCAGCCCCAATCAACTGGGTAGTGGCACTTGCGGTTGGGTCGCCAGCCTTGGGGCTCTGAGCTGGGCAGCTCCGGCCCAAGCCATCAAGATGGGCGTGCGCCTCTTCTGGACAGGTCGGATTCTGGAACGACTCGAGCCTTGCCCGAACATCTACACCCTGCAGCCCGGACTGGTGGAACTCGAAAGGAACGGCGACCCAACAGCACCCGGATGCTTTCAGCAATGTGATCCGCAGGACTACACACCCCGCCTCTCTGCTGGGCTCACCGGCATGTGGACCTATGCTACGATGAGTCACCTCAAGGAGTTCTTGGAAGACTGCCCTGAGCCATCGGCTATCAACGTCATGTACTCTGGCATCAAGGAAAAGGACCCGGAGACCTTCGAGCGGTGGGACAAAATCGAGGGCCAGAGCGATGAGGTTACGATGGCCATGTGCAGATCCCTCATCAGCGAGAAGTGCAGGACGGAAGAGCTCAGCAGCACGGCCAGCCGTGCAGCTGCCCTCCAGGAGGCTTGCGACATCGTCAGTTCAAACGGGGTTGCACTCTTGTCAGTGGATGCCGATCCATTACAAAAAGCGTCCGAGAGTGCCTCCCAACCGGGCATTAACAACAGCGGAGAAATCTTCACTGGCCCTGTTGGTGCGGAGGCGAACCACGTGGTATACCTCCAAGCATGCGAGGACGACCGGGATTCCTATGCTCTTTGGACCTGGGGCGGCGTAAAGTATGTGACCAAGGAGAACCTCGTCGGTGACACCGAGAATCACACCTTCTTCCAGGCCTTCGTAGCGGATGAAGTGCAGATCTTTGACGACTGAGCCTGCAGCATGGTGCTTTCATGGGGCCCCGGCAGCTGCTGCTTTCACATCTCTTGCGAGAGCACGTTTTCATTCCATGGCTTTCGGCCTGCAAGACGCGGACGGCCGGCTGTCTGAGCCCATGACGATTCATTGCACCTCGCAGCTTCTGAAATACAGCGCCCAGAACGTTGGCACAATGCGGCGACGGTCTGAGACGAATGGTGCTAATTCGGCCTTGTCCAGGCTGCTAATGAAAAAAAGACATATCGCAGCCGTGACGCACCGTCTCGTGGAACTCCCCCCAGCGCGCTTCATTCGCATGGTTGTCGGCCCCTGTGCTTCTTAAGGCAGCCAAGCTTCGGTACTTCATGTGCTTGTTGATGGGCTGTTGTTATGCTGTTGTTGCACAAGTGTTTGTCAGCTTCTTCAGGCTGCGGCCTCACACGCCCTTGTGCGTCGAGCCCCTTGAGGACAGGGAACGTACCGGTTGCATCCGCTCTGCAAGCTATATAACCGTTAGAGCCGTCAAGATGCGTCGAGTGTTGGACTAGCGTGGAGAGCTGGGGTTCAGGGTTTTCGGGTTCCAGGACTGTGCAGTTCATGGGTGAATAGTTTCTCATTTTGGAGGTTTTCTCAGGTCTTCTCTGCAGCTCTCGACTTCCCAACAGCTACATGCTTAAAGTTTCAGCCAGCATTCCCAGTTTAGGGTGTACTATGTTGGGTGTAGGGTTTGTAGATGTGAGGTGTCACGCGACGGAGGACCTCTTTTGCTGTCGCTCGGCATTCACGTCTGTCTCTTTGAAAGGGGAAAGAGCTTGCAGCGCGTCCGCAACCCCCCCCTAAAAGAAGTCAACAACTCGCGTACAAGATGTAACAAAAGTGCACACCTACAATTTGGACATTTACGATGAACAACAAGACGAGGACCACAGCATTCGAAATCAGACCAGAATGTTACAGATGGACGGAAAGAGAGGATCAGCACACTGGAACGTTATCATCCGAGAGGTCTTGTTTCCATGATGTAACGGAATCATAGCTGGTTTTGACTTCTTGCCGACTTGGGATGCATTTCAATATTTTTGATTTGTTACCTTGGATAAATCTATTCTGTGTTTATTCTACAATTTTACTTGTAAGTCATTTTGTATTTCCTTCCTTGTCTGAAGGATATATCTAGATTAAAACATGATGTTGGAGATGGATGGATTTCGCTTTGCGCTTCCGCGACATGTGCTCGACAGCATGGGGGACAAGTCCACGTCCACGCATGCGAGTTCGACTCAGAACCCCTAAGCTGCTTTAGAAAAAACACCCCCCAAACTCTGAGCCTGAAAGGCGCTAAGGCCTCTGCCCCCGAAGCCTTCAACCCAAAGCCCCTAAACCCTAAACCCCAAACCCCAAACCCCAAACCCCAAACCCTAAACCCTAAACCCTAAACCCTAAACCCTAAACCCTCAAGCAGTGAACGCACCAAACCCCAGCAGCTCTCATCTCGGACTTCCATCTGCCACCATGGGCTGAAGACTGCACAGGATGCCCAGCTTGGGCAAGGGGAAGGGGTTAGGGTTTTAGGGTTAAGGGGTTTAGGGGTTTTAGGGTTGTAGGGGTTTAGGGGTTTAGTGCCGAAACCCTGAATCCTGAACCCGAAGCTTCAGCCTTGGGCTTCGTTTGGGTTCTGGGAGGCTTGGGGCCTTCTGGGTTCCCCCGTAGCTAGGGTTCTTGAAAAAATGAGTTGGTGGTGTAGGGTTTTGTAATTGGGGGGGGGGGGGGGGGCAGCAGGTTTTCAGGTTTGGGTCTTGTGTCTTTTTCCGGGGGGTTGTGAGCTTTTTTTCAGAGGTTCGTGGGCTTCGTGCCATGGCTCAATGGCGGGGGGCAGTGCCCTGCGAGGCTTCTACATGACGGGCGTCTGCTACCTGTTGCCCCCTGGCTGTAACATGTATGGTGTTGGGCATGTAGTTCGTCTGTATCTGCTAGATGGGCTCTCCGAGTATTTATGGTGGCGCAGGCATGGATGCTGCGACTGAGCCCATCCGCAATCATCCTTGTAGGGTTTAGGGTGTAGGGTTTAGGGTTTAGGGAAATTCGCGAAACTTTGCACCCAAAAGTCAGCGCGCCAAAGCCGAGAAGCAGGCAGGTGTTCCACATCACGCGTTAGAGTTCGGGATGGTTCGGGCGCATTTCTATGCGAATTTTCTTGAAGTAGGGTACCCACCAAAATACAAGAGCCCTGATTGGAGGAACCCCAACATCGGTACAGTTGCAAGCTGTCAATGCGAAGGGCCCGCACCCTGCGAAACCCAAGGGAACCCCAACCATTGCACCCGAAACCCCACACGGGGAATCTCCTGCACAAGAGCTCACAATAGCCTAAACCCTGAGCCCCAAACCGTAAGTCCGAAACCTTCGGGTGATGTGATGCTGTCGTGCTTCAAGGCTTGTCTTCGCCATCCTTGACAGGTGCGGGGGGAACTGTGAGTTCCTCCACGAAGATTTTTTCATCCCGAACCCTAAGCCTTAAGTGCTAAGCCCTGAAACCCCAAACCCAAACCCCAAACCCTAAACCCTAAACCCTCCAAACTGCTTTTGTTTGGCAGCGTGGGGATTTCCAGTGAGGCTGGAGGATGTTTTTCAGTGGGTGTTCAAGGCTTGGGATTCTGGAGCTTTTTGGGCTTCTTGGGGCCGTAAAGGGGGCTTCCGGGCTGAGTGTTGCGTTGATTTAGTGAGCAGAAGCCATCACCCCGCAGCTTGAAGGTAGGGTTTTTCAAGGGTTTCTTCAGGGTTTTACCGCCTAAAGCCTTAAACCCCAAACCCTAAACCCTAAACCCTAAACCCTAAACCCTAAACCCTAAACCCTAAACCCTAAACCCTAAACCCTTTTCCCTAAACCCTAAACCAGAGGCTTGGTCTCAGTGTCTGGGGATTTGGGCCGGCGGCCCCAGATGTGGTTTGGAAAGTGTAAATAGACACGAGCCCTGTAGGATTTTAGGGTTCAGGGCTTTAGGGGTTTTAGGGGCCCTGTACCCTAAAGCCCGATTCCCTCCCGCCACGGACGCTTGTGGAGGAGGATTCGCCTGAGTTCTTTCTCCCAGAACCCCCTAACCGCCTAAACCCTCTAAACCCCCTAAATGCCGTAAACCCCATAAAATCCTCAAGCCTGACGTCACAGGCTCCGAAGCCAGAGGCCCCCAAATAGTTCGAAGGGTACAGAGACCCAGAACTATCTCGCTTATCCGGGGTGCTGGACGCAGGCTGCAGTTCTTCGGGTAGGTAGTGTTGATGGGGCGTAGGGCTCAAGGTTTTGAAGCGTTTTTCAGTGTCTTTCCACACATCGGCAAAATCTCATGCTCATCTGGCGCCGCCATGGGTTTCAATGTACTTAACGCCCACACTACAGGCTTTCTATGGATCCAGGGGCTTCCAGGAAGGGGGGGGGGAGGGCGTTGGGCACCACTAGCCTTCAGGGTGCTTCTTTTGGCACCACCAGTCTTCAGGCCCCACCGTTGTTGATGTTTGGCTGGTGCGGAAATCGGACAGGCTGTAAGTCCGCCCTTGCAAATGGGTGAGAGTGGCCCAAGCTGGGAACTTAGGGCGCACCAAGGATTGAGGTTCTCGAGCGCCGCCACGGCACAAGTGCAAGTACTCTTCAACCCAAGCTAGAACCCCGCTCCATCCTGCCTTTTGAGCCCTCAACCAGAGTCCCCCAACCCGATACCCGAACATCCAAAGACCCTAAACTCCAAGGCCTGTTTACCTCAACTTCGGCCCCCCAGATGTCGTGGTGGGCGGATGGGAGGCCTGCGTAGTTCCCTTTTTGTGGGTTTTTTGGTTGTTACTTGTTACCCAAAGCCTTAAGCCCTAACCCCTAAACCTTAAACCCTAAACCCTAAACCCTAGTTCGGCCAAGCTACGGCTCGGAGACTCGATTCCTGATGTAGGGCTTCTTCAGCATCCTAAGCCCTCACAGCATGATCTTCTTTAGGGTTAAGGGTTAAGGGTTAAGGGTTAAGAGTTAGGGTTTAGGGTTTGGGTTTAGGGGTTTAGGGTTTAGGGTTTCGGGTTTTGGGCTTTGGGGCTTAGGGTGCAGGGGTTCAGCGTTTAGGGTTATACGCGGGGTTTGCCAAGCCAGAGACTATCGGCAAAGACTAAGATGCCCAAACCTCAAGAGCCCTAAACCCTGAACCCTAAACCCTAAACCCTAAACCCTAAACCCTAAACCCTAAACCCTAAACCCTAAACCCTAAACCCCTTCTGCATCCTTGGAAGCTCTGGGGCCCAGGCGGCCTTCGACACCCTTCCGAGCACACCTTTCTTGCAGCTGCGTGGAGCCCAAGAAGCCCCGACCCCCAAAGAGGCCTCGGAGCCCTCGAGTGGACCTCACATCCCCTCCAAAAACCCGAGGTCTCCAGGTTTTTGTGGGGCTGTTTCTAACAAGACACTTTCCCTCAAACCGCACCCAAAGCTTGAAGCCCGCAAGCCCCAAGAAGCCCAAGAGTTTCCGATGAGCCGCCGAGGACCTCTGTGGAGCCGAACGTGTTTGGCTTCTGGGGCGGTGGCTACACCAGCGCCGCGCCCAGTTGTTAGCACGACGCACGCCATGCTCCTACCCGCGCAGGGACCCAGAAGGCCTGGAATACCCCTGAATCAAGAGAGGCATACTCATAATGTGGGTATTTGGTTACAATGGGGGGGGGACCCTGAATATTCACCGAAAAGACTGTCATCCGTATAATCGGAGCCCCCCACGAAGGGTACAACCCTATTTTCGGAACCCCACATATAGAGTTGTTTAAGGTTGAAAACTTATGCCTCGATTAACGGCTCTTTAAGCCATGCAGTCCAAGCTTTCCCTTCCTTTGCCCTGGAGCTTTGCCACTCCCTTGTGTGTTTTGGGGTTTTAGGACCGTCAGCCTTGGAATTTAAATCCCTAGACCCGCATCTCTAAGCTTTTAAAAACTCAAAGCTCTATAAGCCCTAAAGCCCCAAACCGCTTGCACCCTAACCCTAAACCCGAAACC